CAAAAAATATATTGTATATTATCGGGGCTATTAATACTTTTATCGGGATGACGTCATAATTCCTAATATCGGACCGATAATTATCGGGCCGGTAAGTATTGTGCACCACTAAACGAAATACTTTTTTGAAAACGCACACGGTGCGTAAATGCAAACGTTCCCGTGTAAATGGGGTCTAAGTCTAGGATGCCCCCTTTGCTAGAGAGATGGGTAGCTTTTCTCTGTCAGAAACATTGGAAGTTGTTGTTGGACCCACTGAATAGTGATTTATATTGTGCTTGATATAAAGCGCTGCAGTCATAAATGTTAAACCAAGAAATTAGTTGACATTTTAGAACTTTCAGGTTCCCTTCCCCAAGTCTGTGTTTTGTTTTTAAGTTTTGGGTTATGACAAAAAAAACATGGTCTGTGGTTAATACACATTTACATTATTGTTACATTTGTTCTACAACATACGTCAGTAAATACCCAACTAATAAATATCCGAAGCTTTTTTGTGTCTTCAAATACAGTGAATAAAAAATAACCGTGAATAAAGGAGATGACTGAGCCTCACCACGGTGATGTGGTTTGTTTATAGCATCACGTTAGCTCAGCTATTTACTTCTGGCAATTACATTTATGAGTCAACTATTCTTAAAGCGATGTTAACATGTGGAGATTATCTGTAACAATACGTCTTAGTATGAAACGTGTGTTAGCTACAGCATCGTCACGGAATAAAGGAACTGTACTCTGACGTCTTGTCTGCATGTATTAATTAAACAGTATTTATTAGTGATCAGTTTATAACTACACCATCCACCTTATGTGAGAGTGCATATGAGGGCTCAGCTCTGCTCTGTAAATGACTCAATTGTCCAGTTCTGAGAGTCCCTTTATGCACATGAATCAATACAGCGGCCGCTTACGGCCCGTCCACACTACAGCTTTGACAGCTTCAAAAACGGTTTCCAACGCGTCTGCCCATTCACTTTGAATGGGGTGACGTCACTTTTCGCCGAACTGCATTGTGGGAAGCAGAGCGGAGCTTTCCTGGCGTTTCAGGCTGCAAAAGTTAAGCAATCTTCAACTTTTGAAGCTTCTGAAGCTTTCGGTGGAAGCGTCAGCCAATCAAATCATATGCCAGTACAAGCTCTAGCCAATCAAACCGCTGCTTGTGTGTCAGGGGCGGGAGATTCATGTGATTGGTTGTTGGTCGAGCTTCCCACACGCCCAGCTCCAAGCTTTTTTTTAAGCTGTAGTGTGGACGGGCCGTTATAGTGATGAGTCACAGGAAGCTGACAACTGTCCCAGTTTTACAGATACAGTGTTGTATTGGCAAAGTCCAGATAATAAAACAAGTCATACGGTCGTAATTAGGTTATTTCTAGACGTTTTAAACCAAGCTTACTTTGGCAGATATGATCAGCTAAAGTAGGGAACAATTTGGTTTATCACATTCGTCCAAACAAATCTCTAAATCACTTTATTACTCTGGTATTTGGTGGTTTTTGCAGAGTTGTGTTAAAGTTTGGTATTTTCCAGTGAATTGTGACGGGTGGTGGCTTTTAAACTCTGGAAACATTGAGCAGTAGCTGGAAGTTCTTAGGCCTTCTGTGTCTTATTTATTTTTTCTGTAAGCATTAACAATATGCCCTTTTCTGTTTGGACAAAAAGAAGAAGATGAGGTAGGGTTTTCCTGACAGATTGATTTGTGCTTACATTCCTCCCTTTTGGGCTACATTTATAAAAGTGATGGCCTGTCTATTCAATGGTGTGTCTCTTATTTGGCTCTTTACATATTTAAAAAAATGTGTATCCATTTGTTGGTCATTGTCAGTATACATTACAATTAAAATCATATAAATATATTTTTTCCAAAAGGTTTTTCTCCACATAATTGATGCAAGAGGGGTTTTTTTATTTGTTGGGGGAAAAAAATAAATGAAAAAGATTAATAATATTCATTCAATAATATATATTAGTAATAGCCGAGAACAGTTTCTGTCTTGCTTACCATAACCACTTCTTGACGGAGCAATTGCTTGCAGGAAGTTACTTAAAATAGTCACTTAATGTTGTTACTTGTCGATGGATGCACTTCATCTGTCTTGGGATGAAGCGGCTTGTGTCGCTAAGGAGATATAGTCTCAATACACAGCAGCATAATTAATGTGATTATACCAGTGATGGATGGAAATTAGAGGATGTTACTCAGTCAGTGTCTGTTAGCTTTCCTGAGCTGATGAGTATTTGTGGCTTTAGAGTATATAGAATGGATGTAATCTTCTCAAAACTACAGTGTGGTATCTCCATGATGTTACGTGACATGATGCTCTGGCTGCCTTTTTTGCTGAAAGATAACAAGACATGTGGGAATAGATTGTTGTATTGGATCGCAGGCTGTTTGAAGTGTGTAATCCTTCTTATTTCATTGTATATTCGCCATTTGATGTATTTTCTTTAGTTTTACCTTTGATCATGTCTGTTCGGTGTTGGTTTTAAGGTCAGCAGCACAAAGTGGCACCACATCAAGATGCCAGAAGACATGACATAGTGCTATTTGCTCGTCGCTGGTCTTCAGTTGCAAAAGCATTCTGTTGGTGTGAGCGCGTATGGGGGGGGAAGACTAATGGGTAGAGAGGAATGCAGCCTTGTATAGGCTCTGCAGGGTCTGAGGGGCCTCTCCCCCCCCCCTCCTCCTCGTCTCTTGTGCATGTCCAGGCTGCTTCAGTCACTCACCTGCCAGCCGAAACATGGTGGACTAACGTAAGCAAGCTTTTTTTAAATGGACACCCCCTGGGCCAATCAGGTGATGGGATCCGCGGCAGGGCGAAAAGGAGGAGGGAGAAGCACACAGCTTCCAACTTGTCACTATTAATAAAAGTTTGGTGTCTGATTTGGTAGTCCAGCAATGAAAGGCAATTTGCTCCTCACTGTCGCTACGTGTGACTGATAAAGTCAGCCGGACAGCCAAGTTATTTTCTGATCTGTGGTTCTGCCCGGGTCAACAAAAACAACACTGATGACATTTAATCACACTGTCATGGCTTATTGTTGGGATTCAGTGTAGGGCACAGCACTGTGGACATTTAGGAAGATTGTACTGACCATACAGCAGTTTGTACTAGGGCTGCACGGTATTGAAAAAAACTGACATCGCGGTTTTTCCCCCCCCCTGCGGTATATATTGCGTTTTTTTTAACCTGTTAAACCCCAAAGTCCCGGCGGGTACTTTACTTTGTTTTTTCACGACAGTGTCTCAGGGGATCGTAATATTTAAGAACCTATTAATGTGTTATACCAGATTAACGGAAATAATCTCAGCTAACTGACGATACAAACCATTTTATACCAAAACAAAACACAAGGCTCATAAGAAGCATCTAAATGACCGCTGAGCGAAAAATGCTAACGCACTTTGGCACAGAACTCAAGATAAAAGTACCCTTATTATTACTTATCGTAGCTGCACTTACAAGATATCCGATTAAAGCTGAGGTTCCACAGATTATTTAGGTATATAGTATCATCACTGAGTGATCTGAACTCGGACAGGGGAAGCAAACACAGACATCACAACACGTACCTTTACGTAGCTTCTAGGGGAGATGTCTCACCGTAGCTGTCAATCTAATCAAAAGACGTGTTCAATGGCATTAAAACGAGAAAGAAAAAACGCGGCTGAATCGGTTAATCCATAGGTTTTTAACGTCTCTGTATAAAAAAATGATTTAATTTATAATCCATAATTCCATTTTTATGTAAATATCGCAGAGCAAAATTTAGCTGCTAATGGTAGCCACCAGAGTGGCTGCTGCTTCCGGTCTTGGCTATGCGGAAGTCTCTCACACACACATTACCAAATAAGGACTGTGTGATTTCCCCTCGATTCCATTGGCTCTGACGGTCAGAAAGAGATGTCACATGTCAAAATCCAGCAAGGTGGGCCAGAGATATGGAAAATCCACCCAAATGGCCCCAAAAGAGGGTTTTTTTTGTACTAAATCTGTCTAAAAAGATCAAATATCAGGGGAAGTTCTACACATGAACAAATAAGGAGTGAGAGTGACGACGCGTAGCCAAAACCGGAAGCTGCATACCACCAAGGTGGCTACCATTAGCAGCTAACTTTTGTGATCCGATTTTTACATAAAAATGGAATTATGGATTATAAACAATTGCTTCAAAGCCACAGATACATTATCAACCTTTGGATCAACCGATTCAGCCGCGTTTTTTCTTTCTCGTTTTAATGCCATTGAACACGTCTTTTGATCAGATTGACAGACGTGAGACGATCTCCCGTAAAAGGTACGTGTTGTGATGTCTGTGTTTGCTTCCCCTGTCGCGAGATCGGATCGCTTAGATACTATACTTAAATAATCTGTGGAGTCTCAGCTTTAATCGGATATATTGTATGTGCAGTTTCGATAAGTAATAAGGGTATCTTTATTTTTGAATTCTGTGCTAAAGTGCGTTAGCATTTTTTTTTTTTAAATGAATAAAACCGCACGTCCCTGCGGTGTGAATACCGCGCATGCGCATACCGCGGTTATCGCCATGACACGGTATATCGTTCAGCCCTAGTTTGTACACAGTTATACCGCAGCATCCAGGGCTCCGACAATGAGTGCATCGACAGAAGAATAATTGTTTTTGTAATGCAACAATTGCAGAAAATGCTGTTGTCAGAATCCCACATATGGGGATTTTCCAGTTTTTCTGTTTTATATCATATTAAATTAAATATATTTTGGGTTTGAACTGACAAATCAAGACTCTGTGTGGTTTTTGAGAATCTGAGATGACATTTCTTGACTATTTGACCAAACAATTATCCTAGAAAATCTCGACGGATGAATCGATAATTACTCATTAGATTCAGCCGTACTCGGCATGCAAATAACCAAATTGTTCCCAACTTCATCCTGCTCAACTTTTATCCCAGAAAGGATCATTGGCATATCCACTCACTCACCCTCCGCTCTCCCCACTCCCTCCTGTTGTTTTGACAGCGTCCCAGTCGAACAGCAGCCTAAAGAAGCAGAGGAGCCGGAGCATCTTCAGCACATTCTTCTGCTGCTTCCGCAACTACAATGTGGACCCCCCAGCCACCAACAACAGCAACACCAGCTCCCTGCCTCCACCTGTTGAGGAGAATGGATCGCCTCCCAAGGTGGGCCACCCCTCCACTGAACACATGCCATTTGTTTTTTCTTGGTGGAACCTTCTTCTTTTTCTTTTTAGTTCTACTTTCTACCCCTCATCCTGTTTTTTTACATGTGTGTGTCTATCTCTCCTGTGTTGTAGTGTGACCAGGTCGAGGTCATCCCTGTCCCTAGTGTATGTATCGCCTTTTTTTTGTTCTCCTTTCCTTTGCATGCAGGCTGAGTGGGCTGGTGCTGGCACATTCGGTTTGTGTGGGCTCCAGTTTCTCCTCGGAGAGCTTTTACTCTTCCACCATGCTGCTGCTCATTTCCCAGCCCATGGTAGCACTGCCTGCGTGCAAGGTTTAGAGTGCACCTACTGGTTTTAAATGGTGCATCTGTGCCTGATCTGCATGGCTGATACTTGGCGGTTTGTATGCTTCCCAAACATTCTGTGAAATTTACTGTCTAACAAGTAAAAGCATCATTATGTCGTTTTTGCTATTTGGTATTTTTGTGAAGTAGCGCAAACACTGCTGTTGTTACACATACATTTGTTATGATTACATTGGCGCCATCTCCGACCAGCCTACCACCCCTCCCCCCCTCGCTAACTGGGCCTGAAAACCTCCACCCAGCACTCCAAAGTACCTGTGTAACTGCTGTGTTAACACCAACACTCCCCTGGTGCTCACAACTGCCAGTCCTTACCTTCCTTGAAAACTAAGCTAACAACTAACTAGCTGATGGCTCCTGTTGTTGGCTCACAATTATTCTTGAGCTGCATCCACATGATCTACGATTTTCTCTAGGTGTTTTGACCTCAAGGCTCTGCGACCAACCTTGCGGTGAAAACACCCAGTGAAGTTTCTATGGTAACGTACCCTGCTAGCTCTCGCCATTACATACAGTTGATGGGTTGTGCTTCGAAAGGTAAGCGGTAAACTAGGTCGAAATTGAAATAATTTAAACTGAGCGACGCAGAGGGATGCGCCTCCGCATCGTCGGGCAGCAGAACGGCACCGTCATGTTTAACTGCTTGTCTTGTGAATGCAGCTTTACCTAAGAAACAAGTACCCCTTTCTGTCCATCAGCAAACTTTGTAAATCACACACACTTGAGTAGGGTTGGGTATCGTTTGAATTTCCACGATTCTGATTCCGATTCCACTTTTCGATTCCGGTTCTTAACGGTTCTCAATTCTGATTCTTTGAGGGGCAGGGTAAAAAAATGATACATGCTTCTTCCACCAACAAATTTACATTTATTCGAGAAACTTTTACACAGGTTAGTTTACAGTAATATTCACATTAATCAGTCTGTTTATATTCACTGCTATGTAACTGTAACCTGAGAACCACTGAAGCTACAACAGTGCAACAGTCCAACTTTTAAAGAACAGTTCTTGTTGAGAAAAACAAGCATATCTGCCTTCTCTGGCATACCGGGAAGAAATGTTTGAACATTTTAAAGTAAAATGCTTCAATCTGGTGCACTTTAAGCAGAATTACTAGAGACTAGATCTAGGGGGTACAACTCTAAACACCCATATGAAAAAGATCGGTTTACATTTTAATAATTAAATAAGTATGTGAACATAACCAATAACCTACCATAGCCAATAACAAATACATGTAACGTATTTTATTTTGTTGTTCATTCATATCTTATTTGACTATTTTATGTATGCATATGTTTTTATCTCTCCAGTTTAAAACGATATGTCTGGTTTACTGTCCTATAGTATACATTGGAATGATTTCAAACCTGTTTTATCCCAATAATTATAAAGGAGTGCCTTGGAAATATGTGTTTACATAAATTGTGATCAAAACGTTTGAGACCCACTGAGATAACTTAGACTAAAGTGAACTATCTAAACACTCAGAGTCCTTTACCTCACTGAGCTGTAGTTATCAGCCTCAGTCTGACTGGAGAGAACTCTCCCTCCACATCATTGTAGAAACATCTTCTTCTTCCGTTAGAGCAGCTAGCACCAGATGCTAATAACAACAGCACCCTCCCTCGCTCACTCGCACTTTGGCTGTGAGCTGCGGGCGCCAGATAAGCCAACATCCCCCATTTTCATCACTTACAGCGCCCATCGTACAGGGCAAATGAAAAGTGTAACCGGGGTGAAAAGGGTGTTACATTTACTTAATTATGAATATTGTTACATCAAGGCCGAAAATTAGGATTTTTTTCTCTCCCAGAGCTGTCAGCGCAGCGCCTCCACAGATCTGGCGTCCTATGCGAACATGGTTACGCTGTAGTAAGTGTAGGTACAACGCTACATTTCCCGCCCCGCTGCAGTCATACAGTAGGCTACGGAGAGCGGCGAGAAACATTTCCTCAGGCATCGAAAAGCGGAACCGAAATTCACATTTCTAAATGATGCCGTTGGAATCGAAATGTTGAACCGGTTCTCGGTACCCAACCCTACACTTGAGGCAGAGCAGAGGGGATCAGAATGAAAACCGAAAGCATTTGCTCCAGAAAATCTGATCCGGTTTTACAAAAATTAACTCGAGCCTTATACATGTATCCCAAGATATTTTACGGGGGGGGGGGGAGTTACTTTGGTTTGAGAAGTGGGGGACACACAAAACAGGGGGTCTGTGGGCCCTCCACCATGGAAATAGTTCTCGATTTGAATCCCTTTTCCTGCCTTTCTAACAAAATATTTGTTAGGACTATGGTGCAATCCAAGAAAATGTGTAGTGTATAATGAAGAAGATTTTGAAATGCATCAATCTGGTGCACTTTGAGCACAAGTTAAGAGATTTATGGATGCAGCTCTCAACACTCATGAAACAGAACTGTATATATTTCAATAATCCAAACATCTTTAGAATATGATCACAACCAATAACAAATAATTTAAAATTGTTTATTTTATAAACTCCTCTCTCTTACCTAGTTAGCATTCTTTCTTTTTATGTATGCGTATTTTACTAATCACTCCCCTTTTAAAACTGTATTTTTTTTCCATTGGAATAATTTATTACTTTATTTTTTACAACTATATTAAATAGATAAAGGTGTGCATTGGAAATATTTGTTTACATAGATGACCAAACAATCTGAGACTCACTGAGATAACTTAGACTAAAGTTAACTATCCTATCACTCAGAGTCCTTTACCCCACCTGAGCTGTAGTTATCAGCCTCTCAGTCCGACAGGAGAGGACTCTCCCTCCAGCTTGTTGTAGAAACAGCTTCTAATATCCGTTAGCTCTGAGCTAGCACCAGATGCTAATAACAACAATCGCTTGTTCACACATGTGCTCCTCCGTGACGATGGCGGCTTGAGGTTAAAAAATAATAATAATTGAATTTGAAAGTGGGGGGGACACAAACGGGATTTTGAACAGTGGGGGAGGACATGTGGAAATTACACCCAGGACTTACAGTACATGACCAACAGCAGAGCTCGGGGCTATAATGCAGATTTGTTTGACTTTTTTTACACTTTGTTGTTCTCCTTTCCTCCGCTGTTGTGAGTGTGTGCATTCGTGTGTGTGTGTGTGTGGGGAGCTGAGCCCCGCTCTTCGGAAACAGAGCGGAGGACAGAATGTGAATGCGCAAAGCAATGCAGTGGAAACTGAAACATGCACATGAATTGGATAAATAACATAAACGTTTAGTTTATTTAATAAAAGAGCACATGGCCGGTGAAAAGTGACCGTAGATAGATTATTTCAGTTTCGATTTGGCGCTATATATATATATATATTAGGGCCGGGACTCGATTAAAAAAATTAATCTAATTAATTAGAGGCTTTGTAATTAATTAATCGAAATTAATCGCATTTTTAATCACATATACATATTTGACCTAAGAACAGTGAGAAGCAATTTTTTTCACATGGATTTTAGTATACCATTAGGCGCATTCACACCGCAGTACTTTTCCCACAAAGGTTCATGAGAACTTAGTTCATGAGAACTCTCTGAACCTGGGGGTGGATTAGGCAAATGAAGCCGCTGACGTCACTTCTTCTTCTTCTTCTGCTTTGGGCTTACTGGCAGGCCGCAAACCACTTCACGCCATATACTGCTGCCCAAAGTCCCCGGCCGGAAGTCCCCGGAGTTGGGGACTGGCTTCAGTAGAAGCTGCTGGGAGTCCCAGCAGCCTTCCGAGTAAATCGCCAGAACGCCGACACCTCCTCATCTCCACCGCTCCCATGTTTTATTTTGTGTTGCCATAAGTTAGTCTCTCTGCGTTTCTGCGCTGGGATAATGCTAATGCTAATAATGCTAATGCGAGGATAATAAAATGGTGGCTTCACAAAACTTTTTGGGAGTTTTACGGGGCGTGGTTTGCAATCCGCCCAGCCAATCAGAAATATAGCTCTTTTCTCACAAGAGAGCCGTACGAAAGTCCCTGCTCTCTAGCAGCTCTCTGCTCTCTAGCAGGGACTTTCGTGGGGGTAAAAAGGTTCTCATGAACTAATTTGAGTACCGGCTCTTTTTGGTGTGAACGCGATAAAAGAGGCTAACGTCCACGCTAGCTTCCACGCTAGCTGCTATATGTTTTGCATTGAGGTGATACTTGAGGCTTGATGTGCTGCGGTGATATGCGAATTCCTTTTTGCATAATTTGCACACAACCATGCTCTTATCGACGCTTCCATCCGTCCGTTTTTTAAAACAACATTTCCCACTGTTGTTCACTGTGGTTTGTTGTTGTCTGAAGTCATGAACGTTAGTTGGTGCTCCAGTATAATCGGTACGCCTGAAACTTATCCAGTGAGAAACGTTCCGCGGTGCAAAAATAAGTGCGATTAAAATGCGTTAATTTTTGTGTAATTAATTAATCTTAATTAACGCGTTAAAGTCCCGGCCCTAATATATAAAAAAACTTGAATTTCAGGGGGGGCGCAGGGTTCCGTTGGGGAGGCGCAGCGCCCCCCCAAGACAATGGTAGGGGAAACACTGTGTTTAAGTTTGAGGGATTTCATTGAAACTGAGAGCAGCTAACCTTTGCATGGCCTTTTATATTATTCAATCTCCGCCGACAAATCTAAAGGGATTTAAGAGAGACTGTGTCTGAGAAGGTGGCTGTAGCAGGGGGTTATCCGGTTTTGCAGAATCCTATTGGTGTCGTTTTGAAGCTTTAGGGCCATTATACGCATCTTTTCAGACATGGCTTTATCTCAGCTGCATTGTCTCCCACGGTGATTCTCTTCCTAACACGGTGTTGGCTTTTTCTGCTCGGCATTGCACATTCATTTATGCAAAGTATATCTCTCCCTTAAGCACTTTCACTCTCTCCATATGTCTGACCTTATCTCCCTCGTCTTCCCTCTACAGCCACCAGCTAAATACCTCCTACCAGAGGTGATAATATCTGACTACGGCAAAAAGTGTGTGGTGATCGATTTGGACGAAACACTCGTCCACAGCTCTTTCAAGGTAAGTTCAAACGGGTTTATAATGTATGTTGTGCCCACTTCTGCAATTGTCAGTGTCTGAGCTGGCTAACATCCAACTGCAAGATCTTCGCCTAAACAATCTTAATTTCTCGATTGGAAAATAATCTTGACCAGCATTTTACTTGAGTATTTGCAAATATCATTGTAAAGCTTATTTTTCACACCAAGGACCATTTACTCCCCCAATGCTTCCATAAACAAAAGGCCTTCTACATCTAAAGTGTATTACAAATCACAGCCAAACTATAAGACAGTTTGACATAAGGGTGCATACAACCAAATCGAAGCTCCATTCGTAACGTTGGCATTCGAATAATCAACATCAATACTTTACGTTGAGTGTCCATTTAGCGATGGACACTCAAGGGCCACATGTTTTCTTCAGGCCACTCCTCTTTATTTTTGTGCTGCTGCTAAAAGCAATTCTATTAGAACATCTCTAAACTATTTAGAAAGGCTCCACAGCTACCTGTCAATGCAGGTGACCACTACGCCTCACTAAGGTGCAACTCTCCTCTTTGCCCCTTCTCTTTTCCCTCTAAAAAACAAATACATTACTTTGCTTTGTTGTTGTCAAAAACATACCAACACATTTATTTAAAATATAAATATACAAAGGGAAGCCGTGTCAAAACGAATCTCCACAACTGCAAATGATCCCATTTAAATCATAATAATGTTTTGATTGAATATTTAAAAAGACACATCTGTGCTATTCTTTGCTATGTGCACAGTGGTGAGAGAAACACTGTAAATACATTTGACATTGTAAACTTGACCAAATACCTGCGGACCACCTTTTTAAGAATGTCTATTGTGAAGCATACGTTATGCTTTACATTGAGCGTATATAGAATATAGAAAATCCCCTTTGCCGTTATAACCAAAAGGGAGCCAATAACCAGCATAAAGTCAAAGCTGTGTAGAATCCAATAAAACGCTGTGCAAACAAAGCCAGGAGAGGAGCTGGTGGGGCAGGATATGCATTACAGTCCTGGTTGTGCATTTAGAATAAAAGCAGGGTGGTAATAAGGAAAGTCTGAATCTTGGCTCATGCTGCAGTTAATATTGTTTACCTCAACCCGCCCCTCTCTGTCCAGTTCCTGTCCGAGTTATATTATCAGAGAGGTTGCTGAAGGATGGAGGATAAAAAGAGACTCATTCTACTTTGTCCTCCACAGATTTGACTTTTAGTGTTCTTAGCACGACTTCTGCTGCCCACTAGTGGTACTGCACCGTCAGCTTGAATGACTCTCATACACTGTTGTTTCCTCTCATAGCCCATCAGCAACGCAGACTTCATCGTCCCTGTGGAGATCGATGGAACCGTTCATCAGGTATCGTACCCTCTTTTTACTGAAGACGCATTTTCTTTCAGCAGGGGAAAGAGATCCTGAAGAGAATGACTGTGATCCAGTTCAAGTAATCCAGGATAGGCTGTGTGTATCCTGATTGGCCTATTCATGATTACTTGCACTGGGTGGCAGCCAATGGGCAAAGAGAGAGGAGGGCATCTGAAGCGGGAGAGACAGCCATCAAGCTGAAGATCTTCAAAATGCAAGAAATTAGTAATAAAAGTATCTTTGATCATTTAGTAATTCATATATTTAAAAAAAACTCATACACCCCTGTATGTATTACAATAAATGTTTTATATATTATTGTACAATGTCCACATGTTTACTCTAACGTCTTTTATAATATACATTTCTTTATACTATTTTATTTTATTGGACGTTTTACTTGAACTACTTATATTTGTTGAAATATCTTCTTTTCTTTTTTTTATCTGATGTTTATGTATGTATTTTTACTTTATGTTGTATCTTTTAATGGAGTTTATACTGTAACTTTCTATCTTAATATAAATATATATATATTTTCTTTTCTAAATTGCATTTTTCTTTGACTTTTTTGTTTATATCAATATCTTTGTTTTATTACATTTTTTCATTGCACTCTTTCTTTTGTAATCTTATGTATAGTATTTTAATTTAACATTTTAATTAAACTGTTTGCTTAAGTATCTTTATTCCCTTTTTATATTTAATTTTATTGGACATTTTTACTTTTAGTTATTTTGTTTAAATCAATATATGTATCTTTTCATTGACATTTTACATAACTTCCTATGTTTATAAAAACATGTTTATTTATTTAATCTCTTTATTGCACATTCTTACTTTAAGTTATTATGTAAATATAATGTTTCAATTTTATTTTACCCATTATTATTTCATTTAAAGGCCATTCTCAACTTGCCCCCAGAGAAATAAAGTCCTCTTCTACATGGCAGGGATTCTTCTGTAACTCCACACTCCTGATACTGCTATAAATAACTCTGTGAAGGCTGTAGTAAAGAACGCTCCTCTCACATTACACACTCTTCTCTGCGCATCTGTCTGACACTCGTATTACACCCTAAACCTGTGGTGTGGTCTTGCAGGTGTATGTGCTGAAAAGACCCCACGTGGACGAGTTTCTTCAGAAGATGGGAGAGCTGTTTGAATGTGTGCTGTTCACAGCCAGTCTCGCCAAGGTCAGTTTAGACCCCCGCATGTTTTCTATTTCCTTCTTCTCCTGTTATCATCTGCTCTTGCCGTCTGAATGTTCACACTTCCTCTGCTTCGCTCTGTGTCTTTTGCATCTTAGCCAAAATGAATGGGTAAGTTTAATGAATGAAAAACAACCGCGTCAAGTGGCCGATGTTCCTGTAGTGTCGGTTGTTTCTTGTGTCGGGTCAGAAGCTAGGTGTCAGTAGCGCCATTTAGATGAACTGCTTTTCTTTTTTTTGGAACATTAGTGTAGCATTTTCAAGTTGTTAGCTTTTAGCGCTCTAGCTGACTAGTCTGACCAAAGGAACATGTTTGACAAATCTTCTTTTACAACATTCAGTTTGATTTGTTGTCTGGTTTTCCGTAGCTGTTTTGCAGTGAAATTCAAAATATGTCTAGTATTTGTTTTTACGACGGTGTAACATGTTGTTTGTTTTCATGGACAGTATGCCGACCCTGTGGCAGACCTGCTGGATCAGTGGAGTGTGTTTCGAGAGCGACTCTTTAGAGAATCCTGCGTTTTTCACAGAGGGAACTACGTCAAAGACCTCAGCCGGCTGGGACGAGAGCTCAGCAACGTCATCATCGTCGACAATTCACCCGCCTCTTACATTTTCCATCCAGAGAATGCTGTGAGTCCCAAAATCACAAATGTATATTTCTACTTATGTTTGGTTATTTACCCTAACCCGAAGGAGTCATGGGCTCCTTTTTATTTGCTACCTCATTATCTTTTATTGTGAGCTATTATATTTTGTATTTTTCCTAACATAAGTTCATAAATGTACTTCAAAAATAACTCTTATGACAAAAAGGAAAACATGAAGCTGGTACAATCTGGAATGGAATGCTGTTTAAATTATTCACTTGTAGTGATTAGACATTTTGGGTCTTTTCATACATGTACACTTATGGAAATACCTTTTGAATTCTATGGTAATTCCATTTTTTTCTTACTTTACTCTCATAAGCCTTTGCCGCAGCTCAGAGCTCCTTGCTCACCCGCCATCCAGAGGAGCAGGGAGCCCTGGCACTGGGTCACCCTGATTTTCATGCAACTAGCCAAAATGAATGTATTTTTTAAAGCTGTTGCCTTCAGCTATAATGCATGACAGCGTGATCGTAACAAGACAGGAGCCCGGATAGGGGTTTTTCGTCTGATCTCAAATAAAAAGAAAGATAAACACGGTAATGAAGCCTGTAAAAAATATGATGACAAGACACAAACGGAGGAACTCAACAGCATTACACAGGCTGTTTGCGTCCTCGGAAAATGCACACAGCACCCCCTCGACCCACATATAAACACACATGCTACTAGCCTGAAAACAGTTTTGCCTAGTTGATGTGATAGATGGCTCTTGCTGAAATATAAGCTGCTGACTGTTGAACATATGAGACAGCTTACTGAGTTATCAAACTTTATAATAGACTAACAAAGATTTCAGACTGGGACAAGAATCATAGCTAATCTAATTGTGGTCCTAATGGGAAGGCAAGTTGGGAAATGTCCCCCCCCCCTAATATTAAGGCTGGTGTCCCTTCTAAAGATAACTTGAGTTTAAATTCCCTTTTTAATCTACTGCAAACTTTTGCACTAGCCTTTTTCCCACTTGGTAACTATGACATACTGTACCTTGCTTAGTATAATTGATATAGCTATCATTGAAAAGTTTAGAATATCCTGTCAGCAAGTCTAAGTAGTGAAAGCTAACCGAGGGTGGTCTCCCCGTCTCCTAAAGGTCCCTGTCCAATCCTGGTTTGATGACATGAATGACACGGAGCTCCTGGACCTGCTGCCTTTCTTCGAGGGACTGAGCAAAGAAGAAGACGTTTACGGGGTCCTGCAGAACCTGAGAGGCAGGTAGCAGGACGCAGCCCAGCGCCGCCCGCGCTCTCCATCTCCTACCCTCTAGCCCCCCCCTCTCTTTCCACAACCACGTCTCAGACTCAGGCAGATCCTCCCGCACGCGCCCCTCTTGTCTCTGCCCCAAGGGGGGACGCCCTGGAGTCTCACTGTGGAAAAACCTGTCATGTGACCCCGCTCTCCTCTCCCGGTGACCGGCTGCCTTCTGAGTGCCGTCAGAAAAAAGAAAAATATCCCAGGAGCACTGTGTTTGACGGAAAAAACCCGCCAGAAAGTGTACAGAGAGTTGATAAGGTCGGGGGACAAAATGCTAAGAGGAATGAACTCTGGTCTTTATTTTCAAAACCAACCAAGTTTTAGTATTCGGTGAAGTGCTTATTTTAAAAACCAAAAAAAAACACAACAACGTTTTGTCTGAAATTTTGTGGAACCACACAAAAGTCTGAAAAAGATTTTGTCCGCGTATTGTTGCTATGCAGGCAGTTTCTGGTAGTAGGAAGGACTGTGATTCTCTCTTCTTACTGAGAAGTGCCTTGTGTGAATGTTGTTTTATATGGGGAGATATTTTGTACATGGCATATTTCCAGAGTACAGTCCTTTCACGCGAAATATGCTTTCAAGTGGACACAGAAGTAATCTTGATATACAAGTTTTTTTGATTATCAAATGCTGAGTTAACGTCTCCATAGTATTCTCTTTTTTTTTCTCCCAGTATGCTTGTGCCATTATATAGATGTTTCTTTCTGCTTTATATGTAGAATTTATTTGTTTTTAGACAAAGGAGTACGTTTGCAATTGTGAACCTTGCGTTTAATAATTTGATCTGAAAGCTCAGATAAATTGTGCCATTTATCTTCTCTCTCTTCCCTCCCCTCTTCCTTATCTCTTTTTATTATTTGCCAAACAAGAAAATTATTTATTATCATATCTTTAACAGTGTTTCAGCTACAACTGTTAAACCATTAGTAGTAAGTATAGCATTATAGGTTTCCATCTTTTGACTGATGTTGTTAAATACTTTTGTATGTTTTTAATGTTTTTGTTTGTAATGTTGTGCTTATCATATGGATAGCTGTTAGCTCAAAATGTGGTTTTATTTTTTGGGACACACTTGTACACAGTTGCAAAGGTATCCCTTTTTGTTGTTTCTATTGGTGTGGGATCTTACAGTTAAAGGGTCTAGTGCCATGTTTTTTAATGTTTTTTTCCCCCATGAGGTTAGTGTCTTTAGGGAATATAGGATTAGCGCTCGGAGCAGGGGGCAGTGTTAAAATCACACCATTCTCTCCAGATTTACAAACGGCGATGGACGATGCGATGTTTACCTTCCGGACTCTTTTGAACTGCTCTTCACCTCAGTGCCTACGTTTGAGAGGAGCCACGCAAACCGAATGCTGCAAAATTAGCTACCATGGCAATAACCTTTTTCAGGGGGGGGTGGGGGGTGGGTGGAGGGTGGAGTTTCCATACGAAGTGTTTGGGTGTCGAGAGCACTTGAGGAGGCTGGCCCGTAGGGGTTTGGTTTACACTAAAAGCTGCGACTTCAGTGTTCATTATTGAAACATCTATTTGTCACATTCATTGATCTGCAAGCTGGACAAACGCATATAACATTGTCTTAGCTAAACAATGTTAATGTCATAGTTTGTTGGTAAAGAAAGTATTTTAAATAGTTTTTTTAAAAGGACGCCTTTCCAACCTACAGATGGGTGCTGAGTATTAGGGGCCAGCTCTAAATGGAAAACTACAGGGGCACTGCGTACGTACTGTGAGGAACCTCATCACGGCACTGAAGCCTTACTGCCTGCGGAGGCACAAAAGCAATGTGTCTTCATCGATTCCAACATTACATCCACACGTTTTAGCATCGTCTCTTTAGTGCGGAGTGTAAAATCCACTGGGCGATATATCTGTAGACCGTATATGGCCGGGTGAGTTAACATTATGAAACAAAGAAAAAACAAAGGCTCTGGTGCCATCAAGGGACGCTCCTTTGCTTTATTGCTTGGTTTCTATGCTCATGATGCATTAAAAGACATAAACTACTTCATCATTTCCAACATTTTTTTCAAGTTGAAAGGCTGCTGCTCTTACAGGCGTATTGAAATATTTTCCTTTCGCGTAAGCATTTGTGATGATGGTGAGCTCATGATGAAGGTTTCAGTGCAATGTCCTTTTCTAAGAAGTGTTCGGTGGACTTCTCAACCTCTCAATGATGACCTTTCTCTGAAAATGTTGTTTGTATCATTGTGATATTTTTCTACTTACCTTTTCGTCAGTATTTGGTTTGAGAATGTCCATATTACCCATTGTATCTGCTATTGGCTTTTCTTTTTTTTTTCTCCTTTCAGATCTGTCAGGTCCCCGTCTTGCCTTTGGTGAGAATTCTCAGTCAGGTCTTGTTTTTCCTATCAGGGGACACGTGTGTTTGTGTGTGTGTGCGAACTACGCGGGCATCTTGTTTGTACTTCCTATCTGTTTTTCTTTGTGTTTCACCTCACTCAATATCACACTTTCATAATTTAGTATTGAATTAAGCACCAGTTCTACAACACTTGAATTCAAGTCACTGTGGGGTGTTTTTATTTGTTGGTGAGGTAATTAATTTCTTTTTCTTTAAAAAATTTAAAAAAACTCGCCTGTTCTTGTTGGTTTACTTTGAGTGTTTGCAGCGTGTTGTCATCCTGAGCATCAGTTTTTTTTCTTTATTCCCATAATAAAAGGCTTCATTGAAACAATTTGTCAAACTTTTTATTCACAAGTAAGACTCCATGCTAGATTAATTAAAGCCGAATAAATTAAATTAGTCTGATTCACATTTTTCCCTGTCTTTTAAAGCTGCAACTATTTTTGTATTGTATTAACCTGTCGATTATTTCTTCGATTATTCAATTAGTGTTTTTGTCAATCAAACTTAAAAAATAATTACTCATAGATTATTCAAATATCAGGTATTTAATTAAATCGTCGACAACCACATGATAAATCATGTTATGTTAACTTATTTAGTCTCTAACAACAATGGCAGTTGAGAAAAATAACTAACCTTAAATAATATAATTGGCCTGTTGAGGACACCACCTTTAAAACAAAAAACTGACATGCATGCACATTTTTATATGCCTAACGTGTTAGCAAACAGCAGAATGTAGACCATACATGTCAAATCCGGCCCGTGGTGAATTTAATTTCTACCCACGGGATAATTTCTAATTACTATTAGATCTGGCCCGCCGGTATATTGCACGCACACCTTCATTCAATCCTGAGGATTTCTTCAGCTCAGAGCCTGAGCCCAAACATTGATGAACTTGCACCCAAGATGAGATGCCAAGTATCTGGCTTGAACTATCATCACAGAGCAGCACACTGAGTTTACATGGATGTTTCCTTCTGCACTTTCTTTCTTGTGACAACAGGGCATGTTTGGTTTGTTCTATGAGGGAAATTGTTTTTTTGAAGCTGTTGTTGGCCTGTGGAAAAATGTGATCATAAGAAATGACTCCGGAAAAGCTGCAGATAGAGCCATGAGAAATGAATGCAACTGATTATTTAATGTTGTTTTTATAGGCAATCATTTAAGCTTTGTTAGTTATAGGTTTAATATGTGCAATAAGTTCATTTCAATAAGTTCTGCAATAAACATTGAACCAGTCCGGTCCTCGACTAGTACCAATTTTTTAACTTTGGCCCATCGTGTATTTGAGTTTGACACCCCTGCTGTAGATGGATTTCAAAAGTGTAGCTATGAGTAAACCTACATTTTTGTGGCCAAATCTTTTTATGTAATAAATTATCTTCTTAGATTAATTTATTCAAATCCTCAAAACATTTACCTCAAAACCTTTTTTTTCTATAAAAGATAGACATTGCAAGAGTAAGTCAACGTTGTGTCAATCATTACTCTGCGATTTGTTTAAGAATCACCAAAAATACCGGTTTTATAGTGTTTTTTGGTGAACACTATTTGTGAATTAGGCAAGTTTCTGAGAAATAAAAAGGCAGCTAGCCTAAGCTTACTCGGAATATTAAAATGTTTTTTAATCGATCGTGAGGTACAGAAAGATTCACTACGGCCCGTCTACACTACAGGCGTCAAAAAATGCTTTCAACGCTTCGCCCATTCATTTGAATGGGGTGACGTAGGATATTTTCAAACTTCGCCGAACTGCATTGTGGGTAGCATGGCAAGGCGTTGCAAGCATCGCGAGCGTCTATCGGCGTCTTCAACTTTTGAGGCTCGATGCTTGCTCGAAGCTGGCGTCAGCCAATCAAATCCTGTTTTTGCAATTCCCGCCAGTACAAGCACTAGCCAATCAAACCGCGTGCAAACTGGGAGAGCCAGACCGCAGTTCATTTCCTCATATTCCAAACGAGAAATTACGGTAGCAAATCACGCGGTTCTTTCCGACCAGAACTATTTACCGGGATACAAACCGGAGGAACCAGGCATGGAGGGAGGTGGCAGAGACAGTGGGTGAAACTGGTAGGTTTTCGCCTGTTTGGGGATTTTATATCCAGTTTACTTCGTTTTAACATTGTTATTGCTTTGTATGTCGGGGGCGGGAGATTCATATGATTGGTTGTTGGTCGCGTTGCTCGCAAAAAATCGCCAAGCTTCAGACACGCCCAGGTTCAAGATTTTTCGATGCCTGTAGTGTAGACGGGCCGTAATAGGCTTCATATTTATAGTTGGAGACAGTAGCTAAAAGCGATACCTTTCTATTGTGTTTATCACATCACTAAGAGCTGTATACATACATTCAAATACAAAATATTTGTTAAATGAATGTTAAAACATTAGTTAATAGGCTTTCATGCCACTCAACTCTTAAGCTAACACACAAACTAACCAGACTTCCTGTTATTGCTGGACTGATGCTATGGCCGTATCTCACTTCAAAGAGTTCCCCTCCTCGAATCCTCGGTCCTCTGGGTATATCCAGTCTCTGATAGTGTTACGTTATTATGAGAGTGCTCTCATACTTGTTTGATTCTGAAATTGTATATATTTATATAAATATATATATGTGTGTGTTTGTGTGTGTGTCCCCGCATCTGTAGCCTGTTATTGTCTCATTATACTGCACTGTGAATGAATTAAAAGTAAATAAGTCATCATGAACACATCTGTCCATCAGACAGAGGGCTGCTGTGCCTCCTGTCATCATTAATGGACGTCTCTTTAAAATGACCGCTCAGAGGAGAGGAGTTCTCATTTCTCTAACCGCCTGCTCCTCGGTTCCCCTCCTCGACCCCTCCGCTCGAATCTCCTGTGGGCGGGACTAAGACACGAGGATAGGAGTCGAGGAGGGGAAACTCGGAAATGAGATACGGCCTATGTTTACTGAAGGTGTGTGCATCCAAAGGTCACTAGGTTAATGGTTATATTCCTAGGAACGGCTTAATAGTCTCAGCCACTAACCGCTATCTGCCTTTTACTGTTTGCATATAATAAAGTGGTCCAATAAGGCACCTGGTTTAGTTATTGAGCACTATACAGTCGTACTATTCCGCATGGTACCACTAGATGGGATGTGGAGTTTATTCAGGCGTACCAGATTAGTGAAACTGTTTTGGTTAAATAAAAAACACTGAGGCACATTCAAGTTTTAAACTTTTATCTTCATCTTGATTTACAAAAAGAAGAAGTTGTGATGATTTCACATAAAATAAACTCTTTCTATGACTAAAATTACTGATGGATACAAAGCACATCGTTTTTAACATTGGCTAGTGTTTCTCCAGAATTCATAAATCGGTCATTTTCAATACAAATATTTAAATAGACAAAACTGACCCAAAAATTAGGGACACAAGCCGCCTTTTAAAAAGGAAGATCCAATGGCATCGCAAACTGAATTATTAAAACACTAGCAACTCATACAAAACAAACATTTGGAAAACAGTCTTTGTAATGTACGCAAGAGGATAAGGGCCAAATGTAATAGAACATGTTGGGATCTGACTGAAATTAAATGTTGTTTTAGTTCTAAAAATGTCTGAAATCTGAAAAAAAAGTCTGAGTTGTGAGAAAGAAAACAGAATTTCGACATTAAAAGTCAGAATTTTGAGAGAAGAAAGTCAAAAAAATAAAGATCTTTTTTAGTCCTGTGATTAAAGTCAACATTCTGGCATTAAACGTGTGTTAGGTAAGTTTGAGAAACCGGCTCGAGATACACTTTGTTATATTCCATGGAATGCTCTTAACATCCCGATAGCAATGAATATCTTAAGTGCTTTGACAAAAAATCCATAAAAAAATGTCATCTGTGGAAGCCGTGGCGCTGTAAAAAGCACGACCAATCCTCTGAGCCGGCCCGGCTAAAATAACTGGATGGCCTACCTGCCTGTCAGCCTTCCATCTGTGCACAAACTTATCTCGTGCCCTCATTGGTCATGTGCGCGTTCGTGTGTGTTGGAGGAGGGGCTCTGTAAGGAAGTGGCAGATTTTTCCCGGCTGTGTATTTTAGAATTCTAGCGCACTCGAGCTGATTTCTCCAAAATTACCTACCCCACCTTTAACGTCAGAATTGTGAGAAAACAATTCTGAGATTCATTATTCAGACTTTTTTCTCAGAATTCTGACTTTGATCTCAGATCAAAATTCTCTTTTGGTAAGATCTCCAAAAATGTTTCACATGTGGCCCTTATCCTCTTCCGTAGTAATGGGACTCTTTTGTGCACCTTACCAATCAGGGCCGTTTCTTCCTATAGGCGGACTATGTGGGGCATAGGGCCCCCGCGGGCACTAGGGGGCCCCCAAGCTGAAAGTATTATTATTATTATTTATTTTGTATTCATCCGAAAAACAAAAAAAGTTTAATTCATACACACAAAGATGAACAAAATTAGTAGAAGTGGGAGGGCTGAAGCATAGCTTGTGGAAAGTAGCCCTCCCGTGCATCATCCTAATACAGCGGCATTATTGCGTCAAAAATGTATAGAAATGAAGGAGTACAAAGAAATAAAGAAAACAGGAGAAAAAATTCAATAAAAGTTAGGGCAGGAAAACAATAAATGAAAACTAGATATAGGGTCATTTTCTGCACATGTCAATAGCAGTTTCAACTATCTTTTTCTGGAAATTAAAATACTATATATAAATATGTACTTGGCAAATGAATAATAATAATATATGCATAATTGCATATAAACATTGTGAACACTTATTTTCAAGTGACTTTTTTTACATTCATACGTTCACGCTGTGGTTTGGAACTGCTTTTGAATGTTATTAGGCATTTTATTAGGAAAAGGAAAAGGAGTTTACTTGATTGACAGAAAAAGCGACCTATCGCTTTCCAGTCTGTTAACCCAGAATGCAAAGCGATACAAAATCAGTCAAGTGCCGGGAAAACTCAAATTAAGTTAAAGAGACAAACAACAAAATGATTGCGGGACCGAGCAAGAAGCTAAAGACAAACCACTTCCACCCAGAATGGGAGGAAGAATATTTTTTTGTGATGTCACATTCAAAGGTTATTTGTCTTATTTGTAAAGCAAGCGTCGCTCTGCCAAAGAAAGGTAACGTGGAGAGGCATTATCGGAGTGTTCACAAGGCATATGACAGTGACTTCCCTCCGAGTAACGAGTTGAGAAAGAGAAAGGTCATGTATTATTGCTACACAAATATTATCTCGCAGTCTTAGTGTCGCCAACTCGTTTCTAACATGCAAAAAGACAAACAAATGCGTCTATGGTCGGTGTATTTTTGATCTTTCCAATCGAGACGAGATCTCTCTCTCCCCCGTCTGTGTGCGAGGGGGCGGGGCAGTTTACACACACACAGCTGCTACATGCAGCAACACACGGCAGGGATGGCGGAGAGAAGCGCTCCAAGGTGTGGTTAAATGTTACCCGTCTTGAGGTGGACAATGCTCGTTACCAAAAGTGCAATAAGTGTTTAGCATGTAAGGGCGGTAACACGAGCAATGTGTCTAAACATTTATCAAAAGTGCACCACATTCAGACGGAGAAATGCACCGGGTTCGACTGTCTTTCTAGTAGCTCTGTAGCCCCATCCACGAGTAACGTTTCCACGTCAGGTGTTATGTATGCTAGCAGCAACACACGCAGTTAACTACATTATACAAACATGGGTTAATGATTAGAGGTAACTGAGTTATTTAGTTTGTTAAAGTTTCAGCTATTCTGTTTACAGTTCTTCCATCAGATTATTTAATACGATTTGTTAAAACACTGTTGTTTCTTTTGATGTGAAATATTATTTATTTAAATTAAATAAAAAGCAATATTAGTTTTGTAAACAATTTGTTAAGTTAATTTAATAATATATGTATTTTTGAATCAAGTATTCATCTTTATTGTCTTCATTGTTAGTTTCCACATGCCTAAAACAACCTCAAGCTAAATCTAAAAGTTGATGGCTAAATAAGAGCGTTTGAGAAATTGTGCAAGGCATAATAGTCCGAATAGTCGATTAATCGATTATCAAATTAGTCGTTTGTTGCAGCCCTATTGTAGTTATCCCATATATAAATCAAATGTGTTATTCAGCAACCCTTGCAATTTGGGATTTTATTTTTGGTTGGTCGACCTCGGTGAGCTGGTCATTTCAAAAGTAGCTCACCAGCCAAAAAAGTGTGGGCACTCCTGCTGTAGACACTAATTAGAAGAACACAGACTAAAACAGCAATATACAGACGAATCAGATGATCAACCATGATCTTAAAATATATTTTATATATTTTGTTATTTATTTTTTGCATTTTTTTGTAATCATTATTTGTAATACTTTCTGCTGATACTAGGTGGGGCTGTGTGACCTAATGACCAGTCGCCACTGTGTGTTCGGTGAAGCATTATATGCTTACAAATCCAATGTAGGATATAAACACGACTAAACTGCAATGATAGCAAAGCTGTGGCTTGGGTTTTTGGGGTAATAAAGTCCAAATCATGGGCTGACAGCCCAACGATCACTCATTGGCTGACAGCCAATGAGTGATGTCTGAGGAAGATGAAAAATGTAAATTAAACATTGTTGAGAAAATACTGCATCTCTTGCATTTATTGACATAGAGGAGCCTTATTATACCTTTTTAATATTATTTTTTGTAATTTTCAATTGCTTGGTTTTCGTGAAATTAGCCTGTTTTCCTATTAAAGTGTAACAGATTGATGCATCTCCACATATCATCTTAAAGGCTTCGGAATCCCCCCCATTGTAGTTAAAAAACTGTCAAAACTAGGGCCCCCAAACAGCATCTTGCATAGGGCCCCCAAAAAGCTAGAAACGGCCCTGTTACCAATCCAACTGATGTCCGATTGCAGATGAAGTTTGTGTCCCTTGTTTTGTAGACTGATTTGTTGTTTGGAGTAGCTATTAAAACTACTGGAATCAAGCCAATAAGTTAAGCTATAAAACTAAGGAGCATAAAAAATACATTTAAAAGCAGCTGGAACGTGGCTGTGTGATGCAGGTCTTTGGCGGTGACGTTCTCAGTTGGCATCCGTCACCATGATGTATACAAAGAGTCCAGCTGAGGGGAGGACGTCTCCGTTCTTATTGAGCAGCGGCACATGTCTGTATCCTGCGTCGGAGCATAGAGTGGTGACAGTCAGTCATCAGAAAATATGAAGAGCTCTTAGTCGCAGAGTGTCAATTGACTTCTCTATGCTCGGCCAAAGATGGGATAGTTCCCGTCTCTGTTCATTAATGAAGGGTGGAAACCAACGACAATCAGTGTTTTTGATCAAACTCACCCATTCTTAAGCTGTTGAATGGGAGCGTGTACTGCCCCACAAACTCATTAGAAGTCGCTGAGTCGTGGTCTTCGACGGTGAAGCGCACCAGGGCCAGCTCAGGCACGTGCACGTTAAACTCCATGTTCTCATTCCATTCTGGGTTAAAACCTTCGACAGGAAAAATAAAGTGACACGTTATAATTACTGATGCATTCCTCGAATTCTTGGTGATCTTTCCACCTGCCTCTTCTACCTCATTCACACCAACGCAACTCCGGTTCAAGCTCCGTGCTAGAGCTTTTCAGGTTCAGAACCGGTTCTTCGGTTTAGCTCCGGCTCTTTTCACACTGCCCAGAGTCCGACTGGTGTTGCGTCGTTGCGTCATCGTTTGCGTCATGACGTAACCGTTTGCGTGCCTGCTTCATAAAGCCAAACCGCGCGGAAACCCCTCACAGCTGACACCGACGACAACAACAACAATGGCCGATTGTGCTCCAGCTTCCTCTGTACCTCTTCGGAAGACCAGATTCCCAGTAGGTAGCTGGTCTCTTCAGTGGACCACTGCTGCTTGTTACGTTTCTCCATCGTTGTGTTCAAACTGGATACAACGCCGGCTTTTTGTTGTTGTTCAGGAGTTGATCCCGCCCCTGCCCCCGCCTGGACGTAAGCGTGACGTTTGCGGTGCTTTTGCTCTGGCCGGACAATATTTTGGTGCTTGAAACGAACCGGATTCCGGAGCTAAGAGGCTGCTCCGCTGCGGTGTGAAGAGGAAAACCCGGTGCTTTTCAAGCTCCAGCTCCGAACCGGCCCTGAAACTTCTGCTTTAGAGGCTTTCCCACAATGCATTTGTAAACAGCCCCCATGGCCGTACATGTGGTTAGCTAATAGTTTAACATGAAAATGACGTATCTCAGAGTAAACAGGAAGTAACAACTAATGCCAAATCTTATATTTTCTGTGGCTGCATTGCATTCTGGTCTATTGAGGCCAGTAGCTGTAGAGACGCCATGTTTCTAAAAGGATGCTGAAGACACGACAAATAGTTCTTCTATATTTCACAAAATTAACATTATGTCACTGTGTTGAAAATAAATAAGTTGCATTGGCTATGTTAAATGTAAAGTATGTCTTCAACCTGAAAAAGATTATTTAAAAATTAAGATTTCTTATTATTGCAGATATACATATCATTTTTACAAAAAATATATATATATGGTTCTAGAGGGAATATTTTCCTTAGATAATAAAACATTTAATACATGTGAAATATAATATCTAGCTTGAATTCATGTTAACTTTTAAAATGTATATAGCATGAGAAGTTTTGGAAATGTTCAGATAATACGGTCCAGAAGCAATCTCCTCCAGTCAGCACTGGAATCTTATTCTACCAAAAGTATAATACAAAGAATATGAGTGTAGCTTAATGTACAAAAACAGGCTGTAAAGCAAATGTAGAATTTGAATATCAACGTACTCGATTTAAACTTCAATCTTTAAAGAAAGCATACCTCCAAGAGATCAGAAAAAATGCAATCTTTAGTTAAAAAACGTGTGTATTGTGTTTTAAAGGGGAAGGTACCATTGTTATCGATAGCATTGGTCTTTTCCTCTGCATTATCATCCGGCACTCCGTACACCTCCACCCTCACCAGCGGGTCCACGATGGAGGATTTCTTCTTGCTCAGTTTGGGGAGCTGCTGGCCTGAAATAACCTGAAGACAGGTTGCCCAGAACATGAAATCCTTTCTTCACCACAGCAGGATTTTAAAGGGATGGGACAGTGAGTTGTGTTTTATAACAGCTCACCATGATGTGGAGCGTCTTGTGCTGCAGCCAGTCTCCTCGGGTCAGTGTGACGGGGTCAAACTCTGAGGCTGGGTCCCTCATGTAGGCCGGTTTCAGGACGTAGCCGCTCTTTCCGTTAATCAGGAATCTGCCCTGGTTTACGTCCATGTCTGTGCAGGTTGTCTGGAAGTTAAGAGCCACTGAAAAGGAGGGAAGGTATAATGATGAATCAGAAATAAGAAGCTGCTTCCCATTGGTTAAATGTACGTACCGACTTGGCAGCCGGCGCTCCACAGAGGCACGGGGCTGTAGTTGGAGGAGTTGGTCCTGCAGCCGGCTGGATATATGCGACTCAGCTTCTCCACGTTGTGATGGATGTAGGCATTAGCTGCAGAGGAAGCATGGAGGAAGAGTTATTTACAGAGTTTTTATATCATCACAGACACTTTATTACATTATGTGCCCTTTATTCTGAAAGGTGCCATTATAACTATTATCACCAAGCGAGGACAACTGGTGTCATCTTGTTGAAATCCTTTTAGGTTTGCACAACTTCTCAGTAAATTTGAATCAAAAGAGCTCTAAAAAATGTCAATACTTTTTGTGGTGACCATGCAGGATTTTAAATACATAATGGTTTCCAAGTCAGCCCTAATTCAGAACTTAAACCTACAATATATAATTATCTGCCACTAAGGGGCACTCATTTTAAGGTAATAACAAAAGGCGGAGTTTTTTGGCACTGTCCTGAAGTCCTGGTTAGGATTTCATCATTGTTCATTATTCAGGAGGTGTTTACCTGGAGCCGAATGATCTACAGAGGTCTCCTCCTCTCCAAAACAAACAAACCAGGTGATTAAAACCAGTAAAAACTCTAAATGGAGCAGTTTCGCGTAAAAACATTGATGTTTTCCTGATGCGGGTTGGCTTCTGCTAACTCTTTCTTGGCTTGTCTCTGAACATGTGAGATCCAGATGTCAGATGACTAAAATCATGCAATAAGTTGAAATATATAGTTAAAATCCACAAAAGTTGAAATAAAAAATGTAAGGCTATCGAAAAATATTTGTGTTTTAAAACGGAATAAAAAGTCAATTTAGGACAGCTTCTGGCAGACCATGCTAGCGCTTTGAATTCACCCAAATAAAAACGTATCATTGTGTTGATTAAAACAACAGATTTGTCGATGTTTAAAAGTATTCTTAACCACACTCACATGGGTCTAAATATTTTTTGACATGTTGCATATTATACATTTCAAAAGTAATCTATTGAGGTTTGAATAGAAAATGTAAGTTTTTGAATGCTAAACTACTAAACCTAAACTCTCTCTTACCCGACTCCGCTGCCAGCTCTAAGGCCTTGTTCTCCTTGAAGGACGACATCTCATAGAAGCTCAGGTGTTGCCTGGCGTCCTCGAAGCCGTGGAAGTGGACGCTCTTACAGTAGACCACCATGTCGGACAGCGCCTTCGCCAGCTTCAGCTTCTTTTTCTCCTACAGAGTCAATGTGAGTTCAAAAGTCTTGTAAAAATGTGTAAACGGAGATAATTTATTTACTCTCCTGATGCCATTACCCCACCTTCTTTTTCTCTTGGTCCTGATCTTCGTCGTCTGACTCTTCCTCCTCCGTCACGTCCTCTTCGTCATCTTCAGTGTTATCAGGAGCAAAAGTGGCCTCCAGTTTGTTTAACCTCTTTCCTTTGATCAGGAACTTTCCCTTCAGCTCCTAGAGGCACACACACACGGTCATAAGGATGCAAGGAAGTAGCGGAAATAAGAACGTTTTACATAGAAAATAGAATAGGATAAAACCAAAGTAAAATGATACCAATAAATACAATACATACCTCTGGAGATGGAAAGCATTTGGGCATGCCATTCCCCAGGGGGGAGGTGATGAGGGCACTGCCCAGGATGGAGCTCATGTGGTGGGCCATGACTTCCTGCTGCTCCACACTGCAGTGGTTCTCCAAGGAGAGGATAACCGGGTAATCGGACGTCTGAGAAAACAAAGAGAAGTCAGAACAAGACAAACATTTTGCTAAGGGATATTAGTGGATAGTATACACACCTTAAAGGCATACTCCTTGATGGCTTTGATGGCATCTTTGAAGAGGATCTTAGAGGTGAGTGTGTAGCCGTGGTAGATCTCCGGCTCACCTTCTGACCCGTCCCAGCAGTCCAGCTCCACACAGCGGCAGCCCTTCAGCAGAGCCCTGAGAGAGGCACAGTTAACATTAGGGACTGAAGAAAGGCTCTCTCAGGCTGCTTGAGAGTAATCGTTGATAAACCCTTAAAGAGGCCCTATGCCTTGGTGACATCACTATGTAACACTCACGCTTCTATTGGCTAGCGCTCCACACATTGTATGGAATAGGCTAAGGGGTGGGACATCTCTAAGTGGTTGACCAATCGCAAAAAGCCGAACAGCTAACCAATCAGGGCAGACTGGGCTCAGCAAAAAAGAAAGTACTTTTTCAACATTAAAGCATGAAAACATGTCACAGTAGAGGCATAGAATATAATTATTCACTTCAAAATAATCTTTGAGCATTTGATGGTTAAAAAGAAAACTATAGAACTATGAAAAAATGCATTACATCAAATTTCTCCCAGAGAGATACCCACTTTTTGATTCTCCCTGAGTTCTCTCATCTCGCTGAGTTAATCGTTGGGTTTTCTTTTGAAAAGTTATTCCATTTACGCTGAGAGGGTCTAAGAGCAGTGCTGTATATTCTGTAATGCTCCATGAGACAAACATTTTAATTTGGTAAATGTTTGATATTCTATGATTAGGCATTTCCTTATGATTGTGGTTGTCAAACTGGATGTTTTCTGATCAGAAAAGTTTGCTTTGAAAATAATTTCCGGTACACAGGCCTTAAAGTCCTCACATTGGGATATAGAGATAACCAGAGACTAATACATGTATTCATATCTGCAGACTGCAGTGATGTAATCAGTACATGAAGGACCGATCTTTACCTGACATAAGCCTCCGTGCTGCTGGGCCCTTGGAGCTGATCCTCCATGAGGTAGGTGTTGTGGGAGGAGGAGATGAAGTAGTGGTTGAGGGGCTGATCCATGTCCTGGTACACCTCTCTGTGATCGGGGTTGAGGACCAAGGCCTCTGGATGGTGCATGTACATGAGGAAGCCATCTTTGGACAGCAGCTTCTTCTCTTTGGCTAAAAGGACACAAGGACATGTCAAAAGTGACAAAGGAGCCAATCATTTATCCAGGAATTCACAAAAGGATCAGAAAAAAATCTAAACAAATGACCTGATTACTCAGGTGCAAAACTATATGGGCTTGTTCGCGCTATACATCTTTACATCATGTCCTCAGCTGTGGTGCATGTATGTAAGACATCCATAAAATACATTATAATGAGAAGCACCAACAACACTGAATAGACTGTGTTGACTGTCACTGGATATTGCTTTAGGTTTATGCATGTTGATATTGATAAGCTCTTGACATCAAAGGGCCCGTCTAACTTGTTAGCTGGCTTCCCTGCATGGTATTTTACTTTGTAAATATTGATCTATCATCAGTGACATGATATTTACCAGTCACTGTAAAACTCACACACTATCTGTTTTTGTTCCACGATCTATATGGAAGATGCTTCAGCTTCTAGCTCTAACGTTTCTGTTACGAGTATTGATCTTACTTTGCAAAGAGTCAAGTCAGAGATATATTTGCTAATAATTTAATACATTTCTGAGGACGTACACAACATACTGGAGCCAGGATACAAAACAACCACCATACACTCATACGCGCACATATATTTAAAAATACGTTAATCTCTAGCCTTAACCTCTCTCTCCAAAGTCCAGTTGTTGTGCTAAGCTAAACTAAAGCATCTGCCTCCTTGACATATTTAGCATTCATGGAGAGTGGTATCTATCTTCTCATCTAACTCTTGGGGAGTTTGCAAAATGAGCGTGCATCTCCACCTGTATTCTTTATTACAGGGCAAACCCCTGAGGCAGTATTCAGTTATTTATTGCTGTGAATGCACCAGAGCACAAGCTTTCATTGGGCAAATGTTTGCCTTTTAAACAACAATGGAGCCCTATTTTTGAGTTTCTGGATCTGAGATTGAAGCCTCACAGTTTATATAGTGATCATGTTATGGATTCATAGTGAAAGATAAGCGAAGGATTCTTAAATACCAACAATCTAATGCTAAGGAAATGCACCTTTTTAACTGCACCTGGGCTAATATTGAATTCTTTCTTTTTATTCTCACTTTTTGTAGCACTTGAAAGGCTTAGTTGAAGCTAATGAATTAGCACTCACAATTGTTTGGCTGATTGAAAGCTAATGTACTTGTGGGATGCTTGCTTTTTTAACTTTGTTTCTTCAGGGTGTTAGGCACGTATTGCAAGTCACGTTGAAACAAAATGTAATGTAATGAAAATAAACTAAACCAATCACATTCCCGAGAGATGAAACATAAGTCACCACAATTGAAATAGATAAATAACTACATAGCTTCACTTTAGAAGCCATAATATCAGAGCCCAGCAGTATGTCACTCCCTGATCATATGTAAAGCAGGAAATCCAGCAGAGCTGTGATGCCGACTGACTTCCACATTATGAACTAATCACCTGAAACAAAAAGCCCTTATTTCACATGAGGTACTGACCATTTTCGTCTGGCTCATGCTTCTGGATTATGTTGTGTGCATCAGCCAGCGTTGCGTCCTCCCTCTGTTCTTTCTTCAGGAAGTCCACCAGGTTCTGAGGACTCATAAAGCCCGACGTTTTAGCGTACTCCCCGTAGATCACGTCTATTTCCTCCCGATGAGTCAACAGGTCATAGAAATGTTTGATCTCCTCTCCGGCCAGGTACCCAGAATTGGATTTGTCGCATTTCTGTAATATGGAAATGTATTATGAATGCAGTAAAAAGGGATCTTATTAGTAAAACAATGGGAAGACGTTAACAGGAATCGTTTTTTAAGTCTTTTATCCACATTTATAACGTTATCTTGTATGGTATAATCATTAACATTTGTTGTTTTAAGATTATGTAAAGGGTATTTTTGACACTCATACATGGTCTGCAGCCAAGACAAGGCAGAGAACATGTGCTGCCAACTCTACCTGGTGTTATTATATATTTATCTATTTATGGGCTCCTAAGGATATTTACTTAAGATTAGTTTTTTTCTGAATAATTAAAAATATCCGAAGGCATCACCTCAAAGAGCATCTCAGCGTAGTCGTCATCCACCTCGATGTTAATCAGATGCATAAAGTTCTTGAGCTCTGACAGACTCAGCTTATCGTCTTTGTTCTTGTCCGATTTCCTGAGGCAGCTGAAGATCCAACTGAAAAGTTTGTCATGTAAGGATACAACGCCATCTTTCTGTCTGCAATCAACTCATTAACCACAGAGAAACATCCACAGTCAAACCTGTAGTAACTTCAAAAGGATACTGCTCCGTCTTCTCCTGGGTGCTGAGGTTGTTTAAGCTAGACAGTATTTTCTGCAGGCTGTCGACCCACTGCCTGGCCTCGTCCTCGGAGCTGGCGATGAGGTCCAGGTTCTTGCGGCGGCCCTTGAACATGATGGAGAAACAGCGGCTCTCCACGTTCTCCTCCGTGTTCTTCTTCAGGCCATCTGACTGACGTCCCATTCGCACCGCTGAGATTTCATCGACCAAAACTGAAAAAATTGTTTTATTTTACAATGAAAATTGTATGAGAATCATCATATTTATTAAACATTTAATTAATCTAAAGTACTTTTGGTAATGAGGACATCACCATTTTTGTGTAGAAAAGTCTAACTAGACAGGGGTCTCGAATTAAACCCTACATGCAGAACATCTTCGCCAAATTATTTTTAACCTGTTTGATAATAGAAACCTGACAAAAAAACGAATTCATAAAAGAAAATTACAGGATATAATTTAGAAAATAATATTCTGCCATAGGAATTATACAATATTATTTTGTATTACGAAAAGGGAAGTACTTTTAGTGTCTTCAGGTACCGCCTTTTTGGTAAACATAAACCTGATGTTTGCAGTTTACTGACGTCACATGACAAGCTTCTAGGACCTGCATTTTAACAGCTGCTTTACAGAGTAACTACTATGCAAAGGTGTTGGATTCTTTTGAGGGAAGCATGTGATAACACGCGGCCATAGAAAAAAAAAAGACATCACCTTACTGCCGTTATCAAACTGAGACTTGATGAAAACGTGGATGTGATCAAAGGCATATAGCCAGAGCCATAACAACCACTCCTTCAAACACTATAAAAAAAATCCCTATCTTGATAAACACACCCACAAAACATATCCTTCCTATCATGAGCAATACAGTTGTGTCTGATAATACAATGGACTCTTAGACATAGCCTTTTATAGCCTTGTGATCACTCCTTCATTTTTATAATAGGAAAAATCTCATCTGAGAATAGACGGTCATACTTGTCTCAGCACAGGAGACACAAAAGGTATAAATAAATAAGACTTTGACACGTGTCCACCACAACACCACACAGATGTGTGCAAGTTCCATATGTGTGTGTCTCACACACATGAAGGTGGGAAGCTGGGACTGCAGCAGCACTCACAGGTCTTGCTTGTCTTGAAGGTTCTCTTTGATTCCCGGAACATGGTCTTGCAGTCCTCCATGAGTCTGAAGTAGCGGGTCTTTTTCCAGGATGAGGAGCGGACCTTGAGGAGGTCTCCCCCCTGCAGGAGGAACTGGAGGTCCCTATCATTCTCCAGACCTGTTTAACAGAGTAGCAGAGAGTACAATCCATAAGATTAAACACCTCATTTCTGCAAACCTACTCAGCTGAAACCCATTTACTCAATGAACTTGACTCAAACCTTAAACTGTTCTTATCTTCTCGATTACAATCATCTCATCGGAAAACTGCATGTGAATTTCCGAAACCACAAGCAACAAATCTGGCTGATTAAAAGCCCTTTACCATGCAAAGTTGTACAGCCTTACACAATAAAACAAGCTGAGACCTGTGACAACAAAGCATGTAGCTTGACCCTGGATGGGTCACATCGGTTACTAAAAGATCCTTAAAATATTTGCAGTGCAGCATACCTAATAGCTTTAGGTTAATTTGTATCTCCTCCTGGCTTTTGGCATAGCGGAGTAATTCCTTAGATCTGCTGAGTTTGGGTCGGCTTTGCAGGCAGCTCATGTTGCCCTGAGGTGCTGATACAAATGGACTGTGTTTCCAAAGGGACAGAACAGTGTGTGGAAGGGCGTGTACCAGGCTGCCCCTTTCAAAGTTCACTCTATCTGTCAGCTGAGCCAGGCAGCGGCCATGTGTAATGTTACACACCATGGCAATATGAGGGGGTTTAAAACCTCCATTCAGCTTGTGCTAAATGATGGTATACTCAAGTAATTTTATAGGACATTTAAGGGAAACAAGTTAACCTATTTTGACGACTATTTGAAAACACCAAAGACCCTATAGTTAAAGTGAAAAAATATCCAGGCAGGGAAGATAATGAACAGATTTTCTATAGTTTAGTTGTGTGTTGGGGAACCCACTTTTTATAAAAAACTACCAAATACTTTAAAAAAAGAGAAAGCATTATATAATACTACAGTTTGGTTTACTAAAGGCAAGCTAGTTAGAAACAGTAGTTATTGTTGACTTCATGTGAACAAAAAATATATAATAAAATCTTATACTATATATGCAATAATAAATAAAAAATCCAACTCAATTAGCTCTATTTTAATAAACGATCCACTTGTTCAAAGTTCATAGGCCTCCGCAAACCACAAAAAAATACCCTACTAAAAAAAAAACTTATATTTAAATTAAAGGTGCAAAGTAGTTCAATTGTAGAACTATAGTGAATACAAACATAATGACTTTACCTTTATGTCCTAAAATAGTTTGTAGTGTCAGAAACGTTAGCAAAATGTAGCAATGCATCAGGGATAACAATTGTTAGCTAACAATACAGAATCCCAGTTTACATGTCACTGATGTTAGCTTTGTCAGAGATAAATACATAATTTAAAGGGTGAATCCATCTCATCATTGAACAAATGATAAAACATTTTAACAATGGTGTTATAGGTTATATAAAGTAACAAGGTTTATAAAGTTACTGCTTAATACTGTGCATCCACAACTGCCAAAAGAATAAGTGAGAATGTTCCTTTATAATTAAAGAACTGGGATGCTGTGTTTTAACTCTCGGGCCCCATCCAGTGGTGACATAACGGTACTGTCAGGTGTTGTGATTTAACCTGATGTACTCACTTTAACCCTCCTAGTGTCTCCCCCCCCTTACTTTGGTGTTCGCGGTCAAATTTGACCGGTCCTGTTTTAACTGCTACTACATTAACACAAAAACCATTAATCATCACCACATTTCATTTAACACCCTTTCAAACTGTAAATATTGTATCAGACTACTGGTTTTACATGAACAACTGCAGTAAATACACAAAGGATAGACACTGAACATGTATTGCGTGTGCCAGGTGTGATCCATGTGGGGGGAGGGGCACATAAGGGGGGGGACACATCTAGTGTGTGTTGTTGTGTGTGGTTGTGTGTGTGTGTGTGTGTGTGTGTTGTGTGTGTGTGTGTGTGTGTGTGTGTGTGTGTGTGTGTGGTGTGTGTGGTGTGTGTGTGTGTGTGTGTGTGTGTGTGTGTGTGTGTGTGTGTGTGTGTGTGTGTGTGTGTGTGTGTGTGTGTGTGTGTGTGTGTGTGTGTGTGTTTTATCTGATCCGGATGGTTGTTAATTCCTTTTCTTTACGGCGGGAACACCATGGTGTTACAAAGTTGACTAAATCATCCAAAATTCAATGAAAGTGAAAGCCTTAATGCAATCGAATGTAAAACTAAAAAGTTATGATTGATGAAAGTAGTAAATCAGTCCAAATCAATTTGACCCGAAGACAACAGGAGGGTTAAAAAGCGTGCTAATAAACCTGCCATTTTCTACAAACACAGTTAATTCTGAGGAGAGAAATGTGAGCCGTGTCGATAACAGTGTTTGCAGTAGGGGTTTGTTTGTCTTCAACTGTGAGCAACACTTTTCTTTGAAGCAGGTGAAACAGGCTGCCACACCTTTTGGCACAGTATAACCAATCTTAAGCATATGCATGTGATCTTAATTCAACCAAGTGTTGATTGCAAACATTTAAAATGTAAGAAAAATGATAAACACCCATTGCAATTTACTTCCACGCCATTTTGAACGAACTTCAATTAGCAAAATCAAACAAAAAAAGCGTCCTACCGTTGTTTTTATTTTCAAACCTGTTCGTTTCCATGCTTTCTGAATTGTATCGGTTGTTTACACAATTAGATTTTGGTCCTCCTTTTACTTGATCATCTAAAATTGCTCCTTCTTTCCATGTGCGCGATGAGTCAAGGACACTTTGAGTTTGGGATAGTTAACTCGAGTGTGAGGACAACACACCCAGTGGTGGCGACACAGGTATACCTTTCTCCCTGGCAGTGAATAATGTCAGCACGCCTGCAAGCTCCAACACCGGTTTGACAAGCCAGCCCTACTGATGTCACAACAGGTTAGGTTACACCTTAACATAGACTTACAGCAGTTAAAGCAGGTCACATTATTGGTGTTTCTGCAGCACCTGCTGACAGGTAAGGAAGCCTTATTATAATGCTGCTCTGTCAAACACTTCCAGGTATCAGTTCCTCACCCTGATGAAACTCTAGATGTGAGAAAGAGGGGAAGTTCACCTGAGAACCACCTATAGGATTTTATGGGTGGTTCTAATAAATACTCATATAGTGTGGAGTGGACATTTCCAAGCACTTCCTGTTGGCTTTGGCTGTGTTTTCATGCAGCCACCTGTTCCTCATTTGAACACAAGGTAAACACGATGAAGAAGGCTGAACAGCAGACTTGGCTAGTTGCCCGGACACACAGCTCACAGTGAATTGGAGCATATTGGTTACACTGAATGGGACAGATGATTTTTATTTTTTTTCTCCTCTCCTTTTCATGTGCAGCTTAGCCTTGGCAGGATAATAGCACTGCAATCACTGGTGCGTTGGGGCTCTTGTGGCTCTCAGCACTTCCCTTTCAGGCCTGGCTTATCCTCAGCGCACTGTCAGCATCAGGATGAGTGAGCTTTAATGCAGCTTCCGGGCAAAGACTGATCACTTCCAACAAACCCCACAAGGTTCAGAGAAACATGCAGGAAAACATGTGCAACAGACTACTTTACTGCACAATAATCTCAAACAGGACATTTGGCTTTTGTCCCTTTTCTGACTAGTTTGTATGCAATCCTTGTCTTTGTCCGAGGTCTTGCAGAAGAACAAATAACTCAATTTTCGGACATCTGCATGGCAAAACTAGTCGATGTGTTTTTGGTAGACGAGGAGATGACCTTTTGCAGCAAAGATGTGTGTATCAGCCTTACAGTATGTGGTGTCAGTGCATGAAATGTCTCACAAAATACTTCAATGCATTGCAGACAAACAATGGTCAGAGACTAACTGTATTGGTGAAGTCTGTGCCTTTGCTGGGTGTCTCTGCTTGTTCAACAAGTAAGAACAGGCCCTTCTAACACACTCCTATACCCAGTGTTGGGAAAACTCCTTTAATAGCTTTATGGGATGCAATATAACTTAGCGCTGGAAGAAGTTGAAATACAGCAAAGTCACCCTGGGGAGGAATTTGGTTAAAGCTAAACCCTAGCCTAACAGGAAGGAGAAATTCAGATGTGTGTGATACAGGTTTATCACAAAAGATGATTGAAGTTACAACAATGGCACTCAATTGAGTTGATTTGAAAAGGTGATCTGTCTTTCACGGGTCCAAATCATTAAATACCGCACAAAGAAAAAGGAGATGAACTGGTCAATGGGTTCTAAACAGTAGACAAGCAAAGGTATATACAAAGAAATGTTGCTCCTTTTATTGCCCACAATATACAGATAACAACACAAAAAAAGGTAAAAAAGTAAAATAGATGCTTGAATCACTTTGAAAATATAAAGATGAACTACCAGCCATCTACTGCAAACTTGGTTAACCTTCTACATTAACTTCACTAATCCCCAACCCTACCATCCTCTGCTGCCTCTCCCAAAACATCCTCAAGTCTCATGGCACTGAGTCAGTGACATGGATTATGCAATACCTGGGTTACAAAAGGATACAGCCCAAAGAGGAAGTAACATCGGAAACAATAAATACAAAGACAATATGTAAACAACTGTCTTAAGTGTATGAATACTGCATGGTGAACGCTTTGCCACATTTTGAATTACAAAATGGAAATTGAAGGATTCAATTAGCCTGAAAAAAACCCTTAAAGTTTAAGGTTTTTTTTGTAGCTGTGGAAATTACTTTTAGTAGGCTACTTCACTGCAGTACAAGTTTAAGGTATTTGTGCTTTTCCTAAAAAAGTACAATGGTTGTATAAAAATATCATGCGTGATAGACCACCTACTACACAGAATCATACAAAAACAATTAAGATCAGCCATAACATCTATCTAAATGTAAATTTGACATATTGGAATAATGGCATAATTCATACCACTTTAACTTTTTGAATGCAAGGCCTTTACTTGTAATTGCTATTTTACTTGAATAAATGACCAGAACACGCCTCCCACCAATTATTTTGGTATTTCCTATAGACTTTTTAAGATTAAGCAACATTGTCCCCTTCAAAAAGTGTTGTAATGTAGGCATTAGCGCCCTCTATTGGATATACTCTGCACACTTACAAGAGAGGAACATAAGAATAACATGTTTATTGTCTAAACACTAAACTATTTTAACTAACCGGTCCATCACTGTCGTCAACCTTTTTTGTATCGTGTTTCCGAATGTTAGGAACTTTTAACAGACTTTGCCACACTCAACATGGCGATGTCTCCGTCCCTCTCACTTAGTTCGTACGTAACACACTGCGTCAGTCGTGCGTAAAGTCGTGTTGACAAGAGCGGTAGGAGTTGTCAGCGGAACAGCAGCAGCCAGCATCACCGGAGCCGAATGGAGTAACCACAAATATATTATTCCAGACAGCGTCTCTGTTCCTCTTTAGAAGCAGTGTTTACACAGTTCAAACAACGACACCATGGCAGACGACCAGGCCTCTCAATCCTGGACCATCGACAGGGATGACTACGAACTCAATGAGGTGATAGGTGAGTAGCTTAGCTTGCTAAAGCTAGCACCCTAGCCTCCCCTGTCTCTACAGCGGCTGCCACTAGCCAAACTAGCCGAGTGGCATTGCATGTCTTTAGCTGACAGAAGGCCAGTTCCAGCCCGTAGCTACATGGCAGGAAGGTTAACAGCTCTGCAGAGTCTCCATCTAGCAAGGCCACATTATTTAATTAGGTTTCTGCTAGTTAGCGAGCTGTAGTTAGATGGCTGCCTAGCCAGTTAGCATGAAGCTAAACAGCTAGCTAACGCGTTTAGTCTGTAGTGCGTGAAGAGTCGTTGGTAGTTGGGGAGGGTGTGCTCTTTGCTGAAGGTATGACACGGATTACAGTGAGCCATTCATGCTTTAGTCGAGGTACCGTGACTAATGGCTTTGATCAAAAGAGTTAAGACTGCATATTACAGTAGTGTATAATACTGTACAATTCCTTAGTCCCCGATAATAGAAACTTCTCAAATTCAGCAGATTCTCACACACATTTAGTTGAGCTGTCAGGCTGTGAAGGCTCCTACAGTGAGAGGGTTTCACACTTGATGTTGTTCTCAGGGAGTGGAGCCACTGCAGTCGTCCAGGCAGCGTACTGCAAGCCGAGAAAGGAGAAGGTGGCCATCAAACGCATCAACCTGGAGAAGTGTCAAACCAGCATGGATGAGCTCCTGGTAAGGACCTGCGTCAGTGTGTGGGCCAGTATCTGCAGTCCAGATGTTTTTTACGTCACATTGTTGGGAGTGGTGTGGGGTCAGATCAGTCAAGGACAGATCAAAAGCTTGATACCACAAGAACCACCAAGTACTAAAACTGAGTCAAATCAATAATACAAATAGATTGTGAATGCAAATTAAATTATATATTATTTTGAATAATACAATGAAGCACAAGTCCTGATAATTGTTTACTACACTGATCAGTTATAGGCATAAATAGGATAAGTATTAAAGATATGTCTACTTTTTTACAAGTTGGATCTCTTTTGGTTGATGCCTCTATCTAATGATGTCTCTATCTAATGATGTCTCTATCTAATGATGTCTCTATCTAATGATGTCTCTATCTAATGATGTCTCTATCTAATGATGTCTCTATCTAATGATGTCTCTATCTAATGATGTCTCTATCTAATGATGTCTCTATCTAATGATGTCTCTATCTAATGATGTCTCTATCTAATGGAGGCATCATTAGATAAATAGCTTACTTTGTTTACTTTTTGAGCGTATATTCTTCAGATTTGCAACAGTGGAACTACATGAACTTAAAGGTTGAGTGTGTAAGATGTATTTAAACCAACAAAATACACCTGGTAGTGAGACCTTTTTCTTTTTTTTATTAGGATCCCCATTAGCACTAGTATAAGCATCGGCTATTCTTCCTGAGGTTCGCACACATAAGGTCAAACTTACACAATAAAGCCACATAAAAACAACGAACAACTCATCTTATTTAATAGTCAACCATTAAGTCGAACACACCATTGACAATGCCTCAAGAACACACTTCTACTACAAATAAACAATCATTTATAACAGACATGAGTCCTTGTCTGTCATGACCCAAAATGTATATTATATCCTGCACTTTCATACAAAATAACTTGAAGGAAAATAGGATATAAAAAAAAAGAAGTGTAGTTCTGATCTAATAAAAGCAATTCTTAGTTTCAGGTGAATATTCACTAATTCAATCATTGTCATAGATATTATATTCAATGTCCTCTAATATATTCCCTCTTTATCCTACACTCTGCATGTCATAAGGGAAACATTCATTTCTCATCATTCAAGCTCCATTGTTGCTTTCAAAGGACTGTCACATAGTGTCATTGCAATATACGCTATCTGAGTTATTATTTCATTCTATTACACCTTTCTCTCTGGACTTCACCTTTGTCATTAATGTCTTAACGGCTCAGTGGTAATGTAATGCAGGTAACTCCACCGTCTGGGTCTCTGTTACTCCTGCTTTAGGATTGACTCTGAGATCCAGCATGACGGAGCTGCTGAAGTATAACATCAATATTTGGTTAGTGACTTGCTGTGTACCGTAACAGCTCCCTGTGTGACCGTGTATCCTTTTCTTCCTCCTCCGTGCAGAAAGAGATCCAGGCCATGAGCCAGTGCCACCACCCGAACATCGTGTCTTATTATACCTCCTTTGTGGTGAAGGATGAGCTGTGGCTGGTGATGAAGCTGCTCAGTGGAGGTTAGTGCTTTCAAGAACAGTTGCTTCTGACTTGGCTGACTCTTATCTTCACCGTGACTTTGATTCTCTTTGTCATACCTCATTACTAGTTTTTTGAAAAGACCACAAATGATCCACAGCTTGAACTTTGACTAAAGGTTTGGTAAGTCACCAGAGAGCAGTTTGACATATTCTGGATAACGGGCTACATGAACCGACTTGACGTAACACTGAGGTCATTCTAAAGCAGCTACAATGTTGTACAATTTATATAACATTAATGTTGACATCCTATCTTTTCTCTGTGCTAGTAGTAGCAGTCTGACACAATTCCTTTATTTCTTCTCACTAAACTTCAGCAGAGAGATTTGGCCAAAAATATTGATCACGTTTTGGATGATTTCATATGTTGACATCAATTTTGACAACATTTTTCTAGTAATTTAAATAATAAATATAATCTATGAAATAACTACCTAGTAAATCCAAATGTGTGTATACTCCTGTGAGAATTTACTCATAAATGCAAATAAACAGGCAAAACTCTAAAGAAAGATTCAATGGATACAGTCATTGCCTTATTTTATCTAAATAACAACATTTTAGATAAGGGTTTTTGGTGTGCATCAGACTTTGTGTAGCCAAGCAGAAGTAACGGCCCGTCCACACAGCGGCGTGCGTTGAAGCTTGCCAGCGGGCGTGTCTGAAACTCGACCAACAACCAATCACATGAATCTCCCGCCCCTGACACACAAGCAGCGGTTTGATTGGCTAGAGCTTTTACTGGCATATGATTCGATTGGCTGACGCTTCTGCCGAGGCTTCAAAAGTTGAAAATTGCTCAACTTTTGCAGCGAGCCACGCCAGCAAAGCTCCGCGTCGCTTCCCACAATGCAGTTCGGCGACGCACGGGCCGTAAGAGCTAAGTTGTGTCCTCTACATGTTCGCCAAACCGCGCATCTCGAGCCACGATTAGAATTTTAAGCGTCGTCCAAATTGCCTTCATTTTGCCGTAATAAAGTTAGTTTGCTGATTTCAACATTGGGATTGAAACGATATAGAAAAATATCCATCAGACATTTTTATAAAGTTTTGACGCTCTACATAATAATAGTCATATCACCTATCCCTTCTTTAAGCTGCTTTCACTTCGATTTAGTTTTGTTTACGAACCTCCACCAGATAAATGCCAGTCATTTGAACTACTCGCCAAACTGGAGAACCCCTCCTCCTATCATCAGCATTATTTATGACGGATCCTCTGCCTCTCCCTCAGGCTCAGTGTTGGACATCATCAAGCATATCATCTCTCGCGGCGAGCACAAGACCGGAGTGTTGGACGAGGCTAGCATCGCCAGTATCCTGAAAGAAGTCTTGGAGGGGCTGGAGTACCTTCACAAAAACGGGCAGATTCACCGGTGAGTCCTGATGATGTGTGTGCAGGCTGCAACCCAACCGCCGTGTTATCACTGCACTCTGTGTTCATCACTCACTCCTCCCTCTGCTCACTCAGACTTTCATCTCCGCATATAAGCGCGTGGCTTGAACTAGACCTCGCTGCTTCAATATTTAATACAGTGTAAATGTATAATTGAACAGGTTTGTTTTGCATAAATGCTCCACTCAGGAACACTGAACTACCGCTGAGAAAAAAGCCTCTCAGTGTCAAGTTGTTTCAAATGAACAGCTCATTTCAACTGTCTTGGTCATAGCTTAAAAATCAAGATGTGTCTCTTTGGATAAGTCCAATTATCACTTGATTTGCTGATGTTTTAATTGCATTTAGAGTGAGTGCGCAGCTTTTCATTAGACGGAGAGAGCAGCTGCTGATTCTAACTCACTTATACCTAAGCAGGAGAGAAAGAGGGCTTGTGAAAGGTTGAGGCCGGGCTAATCCATTCCTGTCTTTGTGCATACTTTGCAAACAGAAATCAGGTGGATTAAAATGGGGCAGATCAAAGGTTCGAGCACATGAGTGAAGAGTTAATTTGAGTCACGGTGCACAGCCTCACCACTCCTCTGTGTCTGCTGATTCATTCCTACTAAGAACCAGAATGAACACACATAGCATACACACATTTGTGTAACTTTGCCTTACTTGAAACTTCCGTTGTATGTTTATAAAGTATAACCATGAACATATTAAGATTTTAGCCTTAACAGACCATTTACAGGCAAAACAAACCATATAACACACAACAGGAAAGGGCAAACCCTGAAAGAGCATAAAAGGGTCTCTTTAAGGCCTATTATAAAGATGTATTATCTATCAATACTATGTCAATACCAATCTATTTATTTTAAACCATGAATTAGTGTCTATATACACAAATGTAAAGGTGTGTGTATTCTATTTCAAGAACTCCCAATTGCTATTAGCAGATATGCCAATGAATTTCAATATAATATAAATAAATGTTTCTTGGGTTTTTCCTAATGGTCTTAATAGAATCAGAATTCCTTTATTAGTACCACATCGACAAATACGTACACGACCATGGCTAAAAGATTAGTAGCAGTTTAAAGTGACATAAATAACATATTAAAGTAATGAGACCTTATACAAATAAAACTGATGGGACATTTCTTTCTAATATGTCAATACATTTGCCGTCTTTTAGAAATAACACCACTGATATTGTCTCAAATATAATTGTTGCATCTCGTGTTTTGATTCTCTTGGTCTTCCTTCACAGGGATCTAAAAGCTGGAAACATCCTTCTTGGGGACGATGGCTTTGTGCAAATTGCTGGTACATTATTATTATTTCTGCAGGGTTTTTTTTGACCATATTTCTTTCTGTGCTTCTGCTTAGTTACAGCTTGAAGTCCCTTTGTAGACAGTCTCTGTTTGTAAGTTTAAAATGTTGGTACAGTATCTAGCTTAATGAACAATGTCCTCATTGTTTCAGTCTGTAAATGTAAAATGACGGGCCTTTTTTGTGGGAGATTAGTCTAAATATTGAAGTGGATTTCCTCTCATTTTTTCCTCCCTGTCATACATTCCCAATCCTTCTCCAGACTTCGGTGTGAGTGCCTTTCTATCAGCTGGAGGAGACATGACCAGGAACAAGGTCCGGAAGACGTTTGTGGGGACGCCGTGTTGGATGGCGCCCGAGGTCATGGAGCAGGTAAAGGAGGCTTGTTTCCTAGATCTGTTTTCTCTCAGTAATGCCCGATAACCTCGGTGATGAAAGGATGACTGGGCAGCTTTGTTCACTCGCTTCTGTTTTTTAATCCGCAGGTCCGCGGCTACGACTTCAAAGCCGACATCTGGAGTTTCGGAATAACAGCCATCGAACTGGCCACTGGGGCTGCACCATATCACAAATACCCACCGATGAAGGTACGTTTGTGTGCGCACTGGTATTTTACTGAATGTCAGGTGTCTACTTTCACATTTAGTGTTGCTGGCTACAGCGGTCTGCTTGATCAACTCAAATGTTTAGCTTTGTTTCACAGTAAAGATGATTTCAGACATCCTTTGCAACGCAAGGAAAGAGTTCTGTAGACTGTTGCAGTGACTGGCTGAAAAAGCTAATGTCCTTAAGATATGATATGTAAAATGTCTGCGTTTAAATGTCTAAAAATTACTAAACCTATCTTCTAAATGTTATTGAGTTATGCATTTACATTATCCCACATTTTCCAACCATTTTAATACCCAGAGAAAAGGAAAATTGACAGTTTCATTTGGTCGCCTTTAGTTGCGACCAAATTGTCAGTGTTTATCTGCAGGAAGTGGTTTTGCTTCGATACAATTTTAAATCATTGTTAAGTTTATAGTTTATCCAGATTAAGGATTTAAGATATCTTTATCTTAATTATCAAAGAAAGTAAGCCAATGTTAGCCTTTAGCTAGTAGCCGATTCCTGTCCATTTGTTTCATAAAAGAAGGGACTACTGCAGATCATTTGGCTCCTTATTCTAACTTCTTGAACTGATGCCTGCATTTACCATATTCCACGACCCAACGTCTCTTCTCTGCGCCACCAAACTCAATCTTTTGGTTTTCTTTTCTATTTAAAGGAAACTACACATTATGCGTTTATTTCCAAATAAACTTTTGGACTCCATTTCTTCCTGTTTTTGATAAAAGTTGACTCCTTTATGAATCAACATCATTTGACTGAAACCCACCTCTGTGTGCCTGCAGGTGCTGATGCTGACTCTGCAGAACGACCCTCCCTGTCTGGAGACAGGCATCACAGACAAGGATATGGTGAAGAAGTATGGCAAGTCCTTCCGGAAGATGCTCTCTCTGTGTTTACAGAAAGATCCAGAAAAAAGGTCAGTTAGTCCTCATGCCTTTTTCTTTCTCCCTTGACCAGATTAAAGCGGTGCTTGTTTTTCTTTCCGTTAGATTCCCCAGTTGTGTAATGAATGTAATGAAGAGCCTTGTGTCTTCTCTCTCCTATTTAGGCCAACTGCAGCCGAGCTGCTGAAGCATAAATTCTTCACTAAAGCCAAAGTGAGCCGTACTTCACTGTTCAATAAACTGAAATATATATTTTGTGTTTCACAGAGTTTCTTGACAGTAAGACATGTTTTTCTTTCTGTTACAGAACAACGAGTACTTGCAGGAGCGTCTTCTACACAAAGGTCCAACAATAACGGAGCGATCCAAAAAGGTTTGTCTTTACTAATATGAATGCACGCTAGTCTCTAAACCATTGTTATGTTATTATGTCTAGGCCATTTCCCAGTGGGAACCATGGGTGTATAAAGAGGACTGGTTACAGCGTTAGAGGCGGGGTCTTGTTCATTCCTATAAACGTTTTTCAGTGTGGCATGAAGCCAAATATGGCCTGACTCGAGTACAACAAAACCTGGATAAAGGAAAACATGTGCATTGTATTTCCTAAAGCCCTGCCTTCAATCTGCTCCCTCACGCACCGGGTCGCCTCAGTCAAATGAATGGGAAATTAGGGAAAGTAACTCTGGATTTGACTTTTAGCGCATTACAACTTTAAGGACCTAATGATAAAAATGAGGGCTGTTCAATTGTTTGTACTGTTAAGTAAACCTTTGTAAAAATGTGCTTCACCGCCCAGCTCACTTCCTAGAGGCTTGGTTTGAATGTGTCAATATCTTTTTATGAATTGTTTTCTCTGTTTAGGTGCGTCGCGTGCCCGGCTCCAGCGGCCGTCTCCACAAGACGGAGGACGGCAGCTGGGAGTGGAGCGACGACGAGCTGGACGAGGAGAGCGAGGAGGGCAAAGCTGCTGTGGCGGCTCTGCGGGTGAGACTCTGCATGCCTGTGTCTCCATACAGTCACCTCCTTTAACTTGTTAGGCCTCTATTATGTGCCTATTTACGGCCAGCAGATGGTGCTGTAGAACTTCTAGTCTGAACATTTATTCTCCCTCCTGCATCATCATAGAACAAGTTCAGTTTCCCTGAGCAAATAATCCAAGAATCGATCATGATCTAGAGAACTGAAACAGTCGTAGACCAATAATGGGCATCAGAGATTTATTGTTTATAAAAGTATTTCACTAAGGCAACACAAGGGAAGGCTTCTCCACTCATTGACTGTATTTTCTATCTGCTAAGTGGACTTAAACGTTTAGTCATTTCATTTACTTTCATTTAAGTTCTTAAAAGAATATTGTCGTTTTTGGATTTTATTTAGTTTTTTATAACCTGTGGATATTTATTTAGTTTTTTAATTGTTTTAATCTTAAATTAGAATTCTTTTAATATAAGAAAGTGCATAGACAGTGCAGAGTTCACGGTGTTAAATAAATGTTATATTTTATTTATTCATTTTCATTTAGAAATAAAGCCAAGTTTGTGTCATTTGTTAATATTATTTAATTGCTGCATTTTATACGATCCAAAAACCCCAGAAAAATCTATATGCATTATGTTTCTGTCCTCCTCACATATATTGCCATCAGCAAATGGATAAACCCTTATGAGTCGACCACTAATGAGAATAAGTAGACCAGACACCTGATCAGATCTCTTGTTCGTATTAAACTCCAACATTTCTTCACGCTCAATTGATGTCTTGGTGCGGGATGTAACTGTCTGCTCTCTAAACGGTGATTTCAGTTCGACCCTGTGTTTGAAGTCCCGTTGTGTCAAATTCCTTCAATCCTACATCAGTCTACATTGGGGAATGTAAAAGGAATATTGCATGTTGTTAATCCTGACAATCTGTCATGTCCATTCTGCAGTCCCCCAGAGTGAAGGACGGCTCCGAGAATATGGAGGTGAGTCCTTTTGTAGTGGACATGACTTCAAAAATCTTGATTTATTGTAATGCCTTGCTGAAACGATCTGCATGACTGTCCTGTGTGTGTGTGTGTCTGTGTGTGTGTGTGTGTGTATCCTTTTCATTCATGTTAAACAACAAAAATACCCCGCTGATTTATTTTGCAATCGTGTGTCTTAGCTTTTCCCGCCAGCAGATGGCTCCTCACAGCATCTGCAGCCCCCCGGTGCGGCACCCCAGCCGGGGGAGGAGGCTCCAGCGCCGGTTCCCACTCAGACGGCGAGCCCCTCACATGCACCCCCTGCTCAGGTAACACCACACTCCCAGGTTCTATCCGGTTCCATGAAACGCGTAAAGATTCAAAGGCTTCTTATTGTCATACGGACACTATTACATTTTGTATAGCTGACACTTTGCAGCCAGATTAGCTTTTAATAAGCCAAACCATTGTTATTCCTATGTAAGCCAATTCTTTCCAAGTGCTACTTAGAGAAGTGGGATTTGTTTTTGGGCCAAGGTGCAGTTAAAACATTAACTCATGCTGCACCATTACATTAAGTGTTTTCTAAAGGTATGCTGTGGTATATTCTTGTCAACAAGCTAAAACTGAACATCTGGCTCCATATTGCTAACGGTTGTCAAAAACGACACAATGCACCTTTTTAAATGTAGCTTTCTATAAACTCCACATGCCTTGCTTTGTTAAATAGTTCACAATCACACTTCAAAATGCATGACAGCTCATTCAGATAAATGTGCATCACAACCATAGTCCAAACCCTAAACCACAGAAGCTAGAAAAAGAAAGAAACCCTTTGCCCTGGTAAACAATGTAAATACTGACTACAGGGGTCATTTGAAAACACATCATTCACATTGTCAGTGATAGGAATGTTTACGTTGTTGTTGTGCTGTTGAGTAAATGCGTTTCTGTTACAGGATCCTGCTGCAGGCAATGCCAGTGTTCCCATCAGCCTCGTCCTGAGACTGAGGAATCCCAAGAAGGAACTCAACGACATCCGGTTTGAGTTCATGTCCGGCAGAGGTACGGTGGATCCTATATCTTCCTGTGTTTCCAGGCTTTAATTAGGAAAAACTGTGGAAGTCCGACAAATGTCTGTCTCTCCAGTCAAAAGGTCTGGTCAAAATAATTCCCTCTAAGCACAATTTGAAGTTAAGTCGAGTCAGCAGCAGCGCTTCTCATTCATTCCAAAAGTGCGCAACAAGATGCCATCACTGAGGACAGAAAAGTGCTTGATTTTCAGTCAGCAGCCGCATGCCTTAATTATAATGTAATCCGCCAGACAGGCCAACATGTTTTTTAGTCTGATTTCAAATAGTGTTGCTTTTCTATTCTATCTAAGAAAATGTAAGCCTAAAGCTACGGAAAATGTTTTCTTCTAAAAGTTACGGCGTAGGCTTGTATTATTTCTTTTTTATTTAGAGTTATGCAGTCTCTTGACGGGACTATTTGACCGTAATTCTCCCAATTGTCCCGGACATTGAAATCTTCCCGGACACGTTGACCGCCACTGTTCTTTTCTAACAGAACCTCTTCCTAGCTTTCATTAAGAAGCTCACAGTCTCAGGTCTAACCCTCTGGTTTCCCTCTCCCGCAGATTCAGCCGACGGAGTTTCTCAGGAGTTGGTCTCCGCGGGTCTGGTTGATGGGAGGGACTTAGTCATTGGTGAGTACTAGGTATAGAGTGGTGCAGGGATGACGTATTTACCCGGAAATAAGCTGCACATGGGTTCCCTCGACAAAAAAGCAATGGGATTTCTCCATAGGATTTTGGAAAATAGCTGGAAATAAGGTCTGTGGTTGACACACATTTAAGAGACAGATCACGTTTTGTTCAGCCGGATAATATCCACATGTCTACCCTACTTTTATAATTTTCGAATCATAAATCTAGTCGCAAAATGCTAATGTTATGCTATAAAGGAACTATAGCAGGGTCGCTGCTTCAACGTCACGCCAACTTAAGATCCATATTCAAACATACAGATTGTAAATGGTACAAGTTGAAGCGTTTGTTTGAACAGTTTGCAGGAGGCAGGTACTTGCTTTCAAGCAGAACAGGCCAAACAAACTTAGCGGGAGTGTTCACGTGTTCGGCGTAATGACGTACAACGTCCTCGATAACTTCTGTAGTCCTATTCAGCCACTTGGTAACAACCATTGTTTTTCAGACACGTCAACTCTTCAGAAATCACCAGTGAGGTCACTGCTGATGTATTTAATGTCGTAGAACAAAACGTGATCTGTCTCTTCAATCTGTGTCAAACACAGACCTTATTTGGAGCTATTTTCCAAAATCCTACGGAGAAATCCCATTGGCTCTGAGCCGAGGGAACCCGTAGTGGTAAAATGCTAACTCACTTCCGGGTTTCAGGACTCGTCACTGCACCACTCTATAGCACTGCGTGATGGTGTCAAATCAGATAAATTGAAACTTTTTCCTGAGAAAGTCCTTTTTTGTCTTCTTGGTTTAGTTTTCTGACTTCATTGCAGCAAATGCAAAGATCATGATGTTCTTTGTGATAGATTACTCAGAAGAGATGTTAAATATGCTGACACATCCTGATCTGAAAACAGCTGCTTTATGGTTTTATAATGTGCATGTGCTTCTAAAACCGGTTCTTTCCTGTTCACACTGATCATGATAAGAAGTCCTGTTATCTGACCTGCTGCTCTTTTATCTCCTGTCTAGTCGCTGCCAATTTGCAAAAGATTGTCGATGATCCGCTTGGTAACAAAAATGTGACTTTTAAACTGGTAAGTATACAGATGGAAGAGGATAACATGAATATCAAAAGGTTTTCATTATAAATCAATGAATTGTAATGTTTTATTTCCAATGTATTCTTCCAATTACATGTCTCTTTATCATAACACATAATGTGGCCTTAACTGTGGCAATAACATTTTAAACAGTTTTTATATGAGCTTATCAATTAAGCACCAATGTGAGATCTATTTTTTGTGAGGCATCGTTCATATTAGTAGATGCTTCTTGTGAAAAGAAAAGTTTGAGTGATTTTAATAAATCAAAGTAGCTTAAACCACACCTTCAATCCTGCTTCACTTAGGTTTGCTAACTCCTAACGCTTGTTAATGTTTTTCTTTAACCCGGACTGTGTTTAATGTTTAAATTATCTATTTTATATGGAAAAAATCAAATAGAATAAGTTCAGTTTTTAGTTAAAATGCATTGTGTTAGTTCATTATTTTATCTCCGATGAAGTTCAGACCTTAGTTTAACACTCATTTATAGATAAATGCAATTCCATGGTAATTGCAATGGTGATTCCAAACCAGTGGTGGCGCTAGACTTTTTCGCTGTCCGTCATTTTGACGGACAGGATCGTAACATTTCCGTTGAAATACATTATTACCCGTCGGTTTGTACACAACTCAGACGGGGGGTTAGGGGGCAGTTACGGCCCGTCCACACAGCAGCGTTAAAAAATCTTCCAACGCTTCTGCCCATTCACTTTGAATGGGGTGACGTCACGTTGCCTCACTTTTCGCCGAACTGCATTGTGGGACGCAAAGCGAAGATTTCCAGGATTTTCAGGATTCAAAAGTTGAGCAATGTTCAACTTTTGAAGCTGAGGTGGAAGCGTCAGCCAATCAAATCCCGTTTATGCAAATCTGACAGTACAAGCGCTAGCCAATCAAACCGCGTGCAAGCTGGGAGAGCCAGACCGCAGTTCATTTTCTATATTCCTGAAAATGGAGGAGAACTTAGTTATTGCGGTAGCAAATCACCCGGTTCTTTATGACCAGTCCCTATTTACCTACCGGGATACAAACCGGAGGAACCAGGCATGGAGGGAGGTGGCAGAGACAGTGGGTGAAACTGGTAGGTTTTCGCCTGTTTGGGGATTTTATATCCAGTTTACTTCGTTTTAACATTGCTATTGCTTTGTATGTAGGGGGCGGGAGATTCATGTGATTGGTTGTTGGTCGGGTTGCACGCAAAAAATCCCCAAGCTTCAGATACGCCCACCTCCAAGATTTTTTTTAACTTGGCTGTGTTGACGTACCGTTCTGCTCGTGAACTGTTAGCGCCGGTGTTATGCCGTGTTATGCATGCTCACTGCACCTCGCGGGAGCGCGCGCAGCGTAAAGCAAAAACTCCCGGACATTTCAATGATTTGTACGCCAAATTTAGGTTTGGAAACGATATCATTTCTTTTTTGGCTGGCATGCATAACACGGCATAACACCGGAGCCTCGCTGCGGGGAAACTTTGGCGCTGTTCTGAGTTTGTTCTAATCTGTCAAAATGACGGACTGCTTTCAGATTTTTCCGTCCTTGTTAAAAAAAATCCGTCATAGACAGAAAATATTCGGTTAACGCGACCACTGTTTCAAACTGTTCACATTTTTTTCAGTTTTCTCACCACTGTATAGATACACGTCATTGTTTTTTACAAGATTTAATGTCAATTAAAGTTTTCAAAGATTATACAAAAGTTCCAGTTTGTGATCATGTTCCCTGTTTTCCAGGCATCTGGCGTGGAGGAGTCTGAAATTCCCGATGATATTAAACTCATTGGATTTGCGCAGCTCAGCATCAGTTAAGTCAAGGTCAGCCATCAACAGAGGATAGAAACTAATGGTATTGCACAGCTGCATTGTAGTAAATTCCAAGAAACCACTACTGCCAAAGAGAGGGCGAGGAAGACGATGATGATGATGAGGAGTCGGGAAGCTGGCAGGAGTGCAACACTACTGCAGGATGCATGAGGACCACATTGAGAAGGGGCTCAGTTCATTACAGGAATCACACTTGAAACGTTTACAGTGCGCTTATACAGTGAATGGGAGAAGAGATGCAATCAACTATATCAACTCCTAATTTCTTCTTCTTCTTTCTTTTGCTTCATACCTAAGCACAATCCAAACCATCTCCTGCCAGTACTGGAAGCGATTGCCTTTTCTTTTTTAAATCAAATGTGCCACAACACTCACAAGAGTGTTGTGCTTACTTTATATGGCACTTTATGACACACTGAAATTGAAAAGTGTATATTCAGCCTTAGTTAGTCAAAGTATAGATTTTACCAGTGTGTTTGGTGAAAATAAAATTGAGTATCTGTGATTATTAGGTGTATTATATGTACGCCTACCCAAGAAATCTTAGGAAAATCTCCTTTAACACTGATAAAACTAATTTAGACACACTGTAGCATAGTTTTAGTTTTGTAATTCTGTAAATTCAGATGGATTTTTATGTAGAATATAAGAAAGTTACCAGATTTCTGTACACAGCAGCTCCAGGCGTGTGGTGTGGTGGTTTTGTCAAAACATACCCAAAGTGTTTAGGCTCTGACTGCACGGCTGAAACCATTCAAAGACACACAAGGGTCAATTATAACTGCAGTAACAACCCTTTTTCAGATGGCCTTTCCCGAGATGTTCAAAGAAAGCATTATTTTCACAGATTTAGACCTGGCTTATATTCTTCTACTATGCAATAGGTGTTTTATTTTCGCCGCGTGTGACCACTGGCTGCTAATATTACTTCTCTTGAGATGAATACATTTACTTTTTGTGCTTGTACTGCACTAGGAGTTCACAAAGTCAGACAGGCAGCTTCAGGAACCTGCAGTGAGACTTCCTTTCGTAATAACAAGCAAAGTGAAACATTAACAGGCACAACAGACAGAAGCGGGTAATGTTTGTCAATGTTCCCGTGTAAATGGGGATCACTTGGTCCGTTTACCATTACTGATCTAACAGCTGGGAAGAATCCTGAATGCTGGCAATGAAAGTTGAGTCTGGAGCTGCTAGTGTTACAGGCTGACAGACGATGAACTTCTGTGGAGTGGTGCACGCTCAAAAACTGAAAATTATCAACCAAAGTAAAATATAGTTTAAATGGTCAGTTTACCCAAATTGCTAAAAAAAAAAAGTAATATTTTGTCACTTGCCTCAAGTGGTATTGAGCTGATACATTTGGTCTTATCTGCCTCTTATTTCATACAGTTCATGTCTATGGAATGTAGCCATGCTAGCGGCTTAAATATTGCGTTGTAATGAGCTAAATATATTTAAGATCCCTAAATCGTTTGTCACTGGTGATTCTTTGTTCCACCAGAATATCAAAAAATAAAAACATTTTGAATTGGTTTATAACCAATAAACTAATACCATACACATTAGCTTCAGCTGTGCTTTGTTTTTAGCGCTAAGTAGCTAAAGTTGGCATGCTAACACGCTAAACTGAGATCGTGAACATTACACCCGCTAAACATTAGCATGTTGGCATTGCCATTGGAAAACGTTAGCACGCTATTAGCTAGTAAATCCTCGCAGTGCAGCTAGCATGACGCTACACTTATCACAAATTCAATTCCATGTACATGCATTGTATTTATGGGCAGCAGGAATCTTAAGAGAAACCCCTAGAGGTAAATGTTTCCTATATTGGGTGAAATAAGCCTTTAAACTTCTCCAGAAGCCAGTTATTATCCAGTTTTTGTTCCTTCTCACTAGGCAAGTTGTTGTGCCAGTACAGTAGTCTCTTTGCTATATAAACTTTCACCAACAAATCACTGTCGTCACTCCCTGTGTAGCTGTATGGTTGTTTAGTACCTCGTGCAAGGCCTGCGACATGGCTCCGAGTTCAGGTACTGATGTAAATGGTGTATGTAAAGATGTTGTAAATGTACGTATGATGGCAACTCCATGCACTGTCACACAAACATCATGAGGGTTGTATGTAACCATGTAGATGCATTGACTGTTTAAGTGTCCTGTCAGATAAATGGAACATTTGACTTGTAAATATAGATTAAGGCAGATTGAGACTGCTCATGTTCAGTACACAGTTGAATTTTTTTTGTAGTATTTTTCCACTGTTGGCCTTTATCAAAGCATCACTTATGCACAAATTATTTGTTTAATTGGCACCTTATTGACATGTTAACATGCGTATTTTCGGGATTACATGCAATTTATAATCACACACTTTGTGCTTTGACGTCCTGATATGCAGTTTTCTCACCGAAACCTGTCCGATGCTAATGCATACAATATCATTTTCATAAGACGGGCAGCACAGGTTACACTCTTCCCCCCTGTGTGTGTATGTGTGCGATTTTGGTGATAACATGATTGATCATCAAATGCTTTGAGCTGAAAGTCACTTAGATATTCTTAATTTCTTTCCATTTTTATTGTTTACTTATCAGAAACAACATTATTCTGCCTCTTAATGGAGACACCAAATGATTAGTATCAATTGAATCACTTAATTGGCGAGCAAATGTGTTCTTTTTTTTCTTTTTTACAGATCATTACATATATTTTTTAAATATCATTGATTATACAATGTGTACATCGACAAATGCATAATTTGAAGTGGAATATTTCTGATAAGATACAAAGGAGATTCCTTGACATGTATAGATTATTGGATAATGTCAACAAATGCAAATTATTTTTAGTAGCTGAATAAAGTCACATGATGGAATTCAATTGGTGAGGACAATGGTTAATTACATTAACTTATCTATCTTTCTTACAGTGCAGACGCTTTTCTGCTTGCTCCTGCCTCTGCTTACTTTTTATGCTGATTTTCCTATTCTTATTCTCTGAAAACTTCGAGCAGCGGCTCCTGGACATTAACTTATCACTGGGACAGTTCATCTTCGTAAATAGACGGAGGGTTTCAGCCATATTTCAACATTTTTACGACGACCTCAGTCTTACAGTAGCGTGGCCTAGCAACAGCTAAAGCCTGGTAGGCTACTGCATGCTATTTAGCTTAAGCTAGTTGGTAGCAAAATGCCTCCGTTCTCTACAGATGACTTCCACAAACTTATACAGAAGATAGCTGTGTTGGAAATGAAAATGCAACGGTTGGAAGTTAACGTGGAAGTGAATGGACTATGTCATGGGAATGACACCACTTTACCAGTGTTGCAAAATAATGGAGAAGGGTATGCTAACTCACAGCTAGTTAGCAGCTACAATGATTCCAAGGAACAGGAGGGCTGTGTACTGGGTAATAAATCTACAAGTGGTAGTCCTCCCTGGAACTCTCTGGGTGCAAAGCCTAAGAGTAAATCATTTCCATGGGATTTGGGAGGACGGATAACAGGCAGAGCCCAGCACTCTGAAATCTGTGATGTGACCGGCTGGCCTGCATTGTTATCACCCAGGAAGAGCGCCTCTTCAACCCCTATTCATACTAGGAAACAGCAGTGGACAGTTGCTAAAGGGAGAATTACAAACAATCCTCCTAAACCACCAAGTGTACCAATCCAGAACAGATACGCTCCGCTGACCGAGAACCGGAGATCTGATGACCTGGATAACCTGTCCTCTTCACACAACAGGGTAAAGACCAATAGCTACTCCAAAAGTAAAAGGCTAGAGGGAAAGCTAACGACTGGGCCTGAAACTCTGATTGTGGGTGACTGCTGTAAGAGATGTAAAAGGTCTGTGTAATAAGAACAACACCAAAGTACTCTGTTTTCCCAAGGATGTGGTCTCTGACTTGGCTGAGAAGATCCTGCATATTGGGGCTGAACATCCGACTGTGAAGAATGTGGTACTACACATTGGAACAAATGATGTTGTGAAACATTACATTACATTGCATTTAGCTGACGCTTTTATCCAAATTGACTTACAATAAGTACATTCGACCAGGAAGACACAACCTTGAAGAAAACAGAATCATATAAGTACATCAGGTTTCATAGAGCCAAACATTTCAAGTGCTACTCAACTGGCTATAGATAAGCCATTCCTTTATTAGTATATAAGTGCTTTGTTAATAATTCTATCGCTCGAGGTGGAGTCGAAAGAGATGAGTTTTCAGTCTGCGCCGGAAGGTGTGTAAGCTTTCTGCTGTCCTGATGTCAATGGGGAGCTCATTCCACCATTTTGGAGCCAGGATAGCAAACCCACGTGTTTTTGCTGATGGGAACTTGGGTCCCCCTCGCAGCGAGGGTGCAGCGAGTCGTTTGGCTGATGCAGAGCGTAGTGCATGTGCTGGGGTATACAGTTTAACCATGTTCATGTCCTGGATGTACGAAGGGCCAGATCCATTCGCAGCATGGTAAGCAAGTACCAGTGTCTTGAAGTGGATTCTAGCAGTTACCGGAAGCCAGTGAAGGGAGCGGAGGAGCGGAGTGGTGTGTGAAAATTTAGGAAGGTTGAAGACCAAACGAGCCGCTGCATTCTGGGTGAGCTGCAGAGGTCGGATGGCACATGCAGGTAGACCAGCCAGGAGGGAGTTGCAGTAGTCTAGGTGTGAGATGACGAGAGCCTGGACCAGAACCTGCGTCGCTTTCTGTGTCAGCTGGGGACGTATCTTCCTGATGTTGTAAAGCGTGTATCTGCAGCAACGGGTTGTAGCAGCGATGTTTGCAGTGAAGGACAGGTTGTTATCTAGGATCACACCCAGATTCCTTGCAGTCTGAGTCGGGGTAACAACAGAGGTTCCGATGTTAATAGTCAGGTCAAGAGTGGGACAATCTTTTCCCGGAAGGAAAAGCAGCTCAGTCTTGTCAAGGTTGAGCTTGAGGTGATGAGCAGACATCCACTGAGAGATGTCAGCTAGACAAGCAGAGATGCGTGCGACGACCTGGGTCTCTGAGCGGGGAAAGGACAGAATTAATTGGGTGTCGTCAGCGTAGCAGTGGTATGAAACACCATGCGGGCTAATGACTGATCCGAGCGAGTTTGTGTACAGGGAGAAGAGGAGGGGACCAAGAACAGAGCCCTGAGGGACCCCTGTAGTTAATTGACAAGGGTCGGACTCAGACCCTCTCCAAGTTACCCTGTAGGTACGGTCTTTCAGGTATGAGGTGAGGAGGGAAAGTGCAGAGCCTGAAACCCCAAGTTTTTGGAGAGTGCGAAGGAGGATCTGATGGTTCACCGTGTCGAATGCAGCAGACAGGTCCAACAGGATGATGACAGAGGAGAGGGATGCTGCTTTGGCAGTGTGCAGTTCCTCAGTGACAGCAATGAGAGCAGTTTCTGTGGAGTGACCTGCCTTGAAACCAGACTGGTGCGGATCCAGAAGGTTGTTCTGATGGAGATAACAGGAGAGTTGTTTAAAGACAGCGCGTTCAAGTGTTTTAGACAGGAACGGGAGTAAAGAGACAGGTGTGAAGTTAAAACTTCTTTGCAGCAATGTTGAGCCAATCATGAAATTAGTGAAACTGGATTCGCCTGTCAATACACTGATATTTATTGAGAGCCTCAGCGGCCGGAGAGTTCACAGCATATCACAGTTCTCCTGTAAGATACCCGCAAACTCTGAACTCTAAAAGCGCCAAGCACCCAACTATACAGACAAGAAGAGGAGGGCCCTAAAACACGCGGGTTTTCCTTTAATGCATGCCAGATGTCGAGACAAAGACTCGTTGCATTGTAAACCCACATGGGCCAAGCTTCTCCCCCACAAGACATCAGATGACCTCTTGACCTGTGTCTTCCTGAGAAGCTATGGATCACATTACAGGCAGGAATACACTTTAACCATTAAACAGATTCCCGAGGACAAATCACTAAACTCTATATACTTTAACAAGACCAAAATATTCCTTTACAACAGGCCTATAGTTTATAACATCAGACGGGTTGAGAGTGGGTTTCTTTAGGAGAGGGTTTACTCTTGCCTCCTTGAGACTGTTTGGAAAGTGACCAGAAGTTAGAGAAGTGTTGATGAAATGGGTGAGAAACGGTAGAATATCAGGAGCGATAGTCTGAAGGAGGTTTGAAGGGATAGGGTCCAGAGGACAGGTGGTAGGGCGGGCAGAGGTAATGAGGGTAAGAACCTCACTTGGAGAGAGAGGGGAAAAGGAGGTTAGTGTGTTGGTGGAAGGAGGGTCTGGTGACCCAGCGGTGAGTAAAGGTGAGTCAGAAAAAGAAGAGCGAATATCATCAACCTTTTTTTCAAAGTGGATAGCAAAGTCGCTTGACAGGAGGGGGAGGGGCTTTGGGAGGGTCCAAGAGGGTGGAGAAGATGGAAAATAGTTTTTTGGGATTGGAATAGGAAGATTGGATCTTATCTTGAAATAAATTGCTTTTTTCCTGAGAGATCGAAGCAGAGAAAGAGGAGAGGAGAGCCTGATAGGATAGTGAGGTCGTCACGGTGTTTGGATTTCCACCGTTTCCGCTCTGCTGCCCTAAGGACGGTTCTATTAGCATGCAGTGCGTCATTTAGCCAGGGAGCAGGAGGGGACTGACGAGCCTGCCGAGATGTGAGAGGACAGAGAGAGTCCAGAGAGGATGAAAGAGTAGAGAGGAGAGTTTCTGCAGCAGAGTTTGGAGGCAGCAGTTGGAACGAGTCAGAGGAAGGGAGGGCTGAGAGCACCGATGAGGCAAAGGTAGAGGGGGAGAGGGAACGGAGGTTACGGCGGACAGGTGCAGGATGAGAAGAGATTTGTTTGTTATGTTTGGAAAGGGGTAGAGAGAATGAAATGAAGAAGTGATCGGATGTATGGAGCGGGTTTACAGAGAGGTTAGAAGTAGCGCAGTTCCTTGAGAATATGAGATCAAGGACATTGCCAGCTTTATGAGTTGGTGGGGAAGGAGACAGTGAGAAAGCAAAGGCGGTTAACAGAGATGTTAGTTTATCTATCTACCCTGTCTGGAGGTTGAAGTCTCCAAGAAGTACAGCGGGAGGACCAGTTTCAGGGATGTGTGAGAGGAGATTATCTAATTCCTCCAAGAAGTCCCCCAAGGTGCCTGGTGGAAGGTAGAGAACAACAATGGTTAACTGTATAGGATGGGTTACTGAAACAACAGTCAGAAGTGTTGAAAGAAGACTTTAAATGTTTGTTGGAAACTGCCAGCTCTCTAAATGCAGAGGTGTTCATCAGTGGCCCTCTACCGCCAGTCAGAAGAGGAGTGGAGAGATTCAGCAGATTGTTTGCACTGAATACCTGGCTTTCAACTGTCTGTACTGACCATTCTGTTCATTTTATTGACAATTTTAACTTTTTCTGGGATCGCAGACATCTTTTCAAGGCAAATGGAGTTTGCCTGAACAAGTCAGGAGTGAAATTGTTTATCTCTAACATATTCAACTGCCTGCGTTATCAATCTGTTCCCTCTGCCAAGGACAAGCGGCAAGAGGAATCAAAACAGGAGAAAGACACAACATCACCGCGCCTACGTCAACCACCTCCCCCCCCTGGCAGCATGTCCTCTACCCCTGCACCATCTCCCACGTCTCCATCACCGTGCCTACGTCAACCACATCCCCTCCCTTCAAGAAAGCATCTGCAGTCTCCGAAGCCTGATAAGGATGTGTGTTTACAAAACGCTGCAAACTGATATCTGCTGGGTCCAGGCTCAAGGGCGTATGGCACTCTCAACTCTTTCCAGGACATGTCGGGGCCCTGCTTGCCTATAGCTTTGCCGATATCTGTGTTGATAGGTAATAGATTAAGAGCGGTGAATCATCTTAGAAACAGGAAGCGCTCAAACGTTTGTGTGAGTTTATCTAATTTAGCAGTGATTCCATGTCAGCCACAGCTTGTTACAAAAAACATGACTGATAGTGTGTTTAACAAACTTAAACTAGCTTTATTAAATGTCAGGTCTTTGGCAGGAAAAACATTTTTAATCAATAATTTTATCACTGAGCACAATCTCGATTTTATGTTTTTAACAGAAACTTGGATTGAACAAAAATAACAGTGCAGCTGTTCTTATCGAATCAACCCCTCCCAACTTTAGTTTTATGAGTCAGGAAAGAATGCATAAGAAAGGGGGTGGAGTTGCTATTCTGTTCAATGATTCCCTTCAATGCAGGAAGACATCGTATGGAAACTTTGATTCTTTTGAATATGTGGCCCTTCAGCTGAAATGCTCCTCTCGAGCTCTGTTCCTAAATATCTATAGACCACCCAAATACTGTGCAAGCTTTTTTGATGACTTTACTGAACTGCTGTCTATAGTGTGTATTGACTTTGACCGTCTAGTCATTGTTGGTGATTTTAACATCCATGTTGACAACCCCCAGGACAGAGGGGCTAAAGAACTGTTTTGTGTTCTTGATAGCTATGGACTGACTCAGCATGTGACGGAGCCCACGCACAATAAGGGGCACACTCTGGACTTAATTATCTCAAAGGGTCTGAATATCTCTAAGGTTGTGGTGACTGATGTTGCACTCTTTGAGAGCTCTATTTCTGTTCACAAAAATGTTCAAAAAGCGATATTTAACTGAAAATACTAGGGAAATGTTTACTCAGAATTTTTCTTCCACACTTGCCCCTGCTAACATCTCAGTAAATGAGCTAGTAGATCATTTTAATTCAAAAATTAAAAATGTTATAGATGCCATTGCTCCAACTAAGGTAAAGGAAGTGTCTGGCAAGAAAATATCTCCATGGAGAAAGGCCATGACCATGAGAGCAGAAAAAAGAGAATGTCGAAAAGCTGAACCTAGGTGGCGAAAAACAAATCTCCAAGTTCACTTTGAAATCTATAAAGAGAGACTTGGCCTTTATAATTTGGAATTGAAAAACGCACGACAATCGTTCTTCTCTGACATCGTTACCAAAAACAAAAACAACGCACATGCCTTGTTTGCTACCGTCGGCAGACTAACTAACCCCCCAGTGTCAGTAGCCTCTGAATTTCTATCCACCAGGGCGTGCAATGATTTTGCCTCCTTTTTCACTGACAAAATTCAGAAAATCAGACAAGCAGTCAGTGCCTCTGCATCAGGAACAGCAAATGTGTTGTCTCTGTGTCCACTTAACATCAATTCAAACACCATGACACAATTCCATCAGATTAATGATAAAAACCTAGAGGACATTATACAACTTCTGAAATCCTCCTCCTGCTGCCTTGATATTATTCCAACAGGATTTTTTAAAGATGTTTTGCCTTGCATGGCCTCAGATCTACTTCATAAAGTAAACAAATCTCTTCCCTCAGGTATTTTTCCACAGGCCCTGAAAACTGCAGTCATTAAACCGCTCTTAAAAAAGAATAATCTAGATGCTTCAGTAATGAACAATTACAGGCCCATATCAAACCTCCCATTTCTAGGTAAAATCATTGAAAAAGTTGTTTTTCAACAGTTGAGTAATTTCTTGCATTTAAATAACTGTTTCGATGTGTTCCAGTCAGGCTTTCGTCCAAACCACAGCACTGAGACTGCTCTTGTAAAGGTCTTCAATGACATCCACTTAAACACAGACAGTGGCAGAACTTCAGTGTTAGTATTATTAGATCTCAGTGCTGCGTTTGACACTCTTGACCACAACATATTACTAGACCGACTGGAAAACTGGGTGGGACTTTCGGCAACAGTTCTAAATTGGTTTGAATCCTACTTAAAGGACAGAAAAAACTTTGTTTCTATAGGTAAATACACATCTGAGTTGACAAATATGAAATTTGGGGTTCCTCAAGGCTCCATCTTGGGGCCTCTTCTCTTTAACATCTACATGCTACCACTGGCTCAGATAATGAAAAACAACAAAATAAGTTACCATAGCTATGCAGATGACACACAAATGTACGTAACCATTTCACCAGGAGACTATGCTCCAATTCAAACACTGAGTAAGTGCATTGAACAAATCAATGACTGGATGTGTCAGAACTTTCTCCAATTAAACAAAGATAAAACTGAGGTAATGGTTTTTGGAGCCAAGTCAGAACGTATAAAAGTTAGCGCTGAGCTTCAGTCTGCAATGTTCAAAACAGATAAAGCAGGAAATGTAGGTGTAGTCATGGACTCTGACTTGAGTTTCAACAGTCACATTAAAACAGTTACTAAATCAGCCTACTATCACCTAAAGAATATATCTAGGATTAAAAGACTAATGTCACAGCAGGATTTGGAAAAACTTGTCCATGCTTTTATCTTCAGTAGACTCGACTACTGCAATGGTGTCTTCACAGGTCTCACTAAAAAATCTATTAGGAAGCTGCAGCTGATTCAGAACGCCGCTGCTCGAGTCCTCACTAACACTAAGAAAGTGGATCACATCACTCCTGTTCTGAAGTCTTTACACTGGCTTCCTGTGTGTCAAAGAATAGATTTCAAAATACTGCTGCTGGTTTATAAAGCACTGAATGGTTTAGGCCCAAAATACATTTCTGACCTCCTGCTAAATTATGAACCATCCAGATCTCTCAGGTCTTCAGGGACTGGTCAGCTTTCTGTCCCCAGAGTCAGAACTAAACACGGTAAAGCAGCGTTCAGTTATTATGCTCCAAATATCTGGAACAAACTCCCAGAAACCTGCAGGTCCGCTGCAACTCTTACTACTTTTAAATCCAGGCTGAAGACTTTTCTTTTTGTCGCTGCTTTTAATTGAACTATTCATATCTTAGACTGCACTGTAACTTTTATCCATGTACTTTTTCTTTTAATGTTTAATTGAACTATTCATATCTTAGACTGCACTGTAACTTTTATCCATGTATTTTTTTCTTTTAATGTTTATTTTATTAGCTTTTCTTTTTAATGACTGATTTTAAATGCCATTTTCTTAATGTCTTTCATTTTTTGTAAAGCACTTTGAATTGCCTTGTGTTAAAAAGTGCTATATAAATAAACTTGCCTTGCCTTACAATGTGATGCCTCGTTCTGCGTGTTTTTTGCTTTTAACAGGTCAACCATTTGGTCCTGTGTGCTCACCACACATTCAGTTACAAAGGTTAAACATTTATTTCGACTTGAGCTTTTGGAAGAAAGTGTCTCCGAGTTGGTGTCGCACTTAATCATTCGTTTGAAAATGGTTGATTTTGGAGCGATTTTGCGAACTATTGGCGACTTTGGTTTGTTCCAGAAAATCATCCTTCTTGGGTTAACCCTCCCAAATGTCTTCTTGCCCCTTTTCTTTTGTAGTTTTCTTTTTATGGAGTCAGATCCAGATAGACACTGTAACACAGACTGGATCCTTCAGGCGGACTCTAACCTGACCAAAGATGAGCAGCTGAACCTGACTCTGCCCCGAGAGGATGACGGAACCTTCAGCAAGTGTCAGATGTTTGTCCCTGTGAACTGGTCTATTGGTTCCATCAGGGAGAACGGACTCAATGAGACCACAGGGTGCCAGAATGGATGGGTGTACTCCAGAGCGCTGTATGAAGCCACCGTTGTCACTGATGTAAGTCGAGAATGTTGTGTGGTTTCTTTGATGGTGCCACTGCTCTACTGATTCTGCTGCTTTGCAGTTTGATCTCGTCTGTGACAAGTCGTACATGGCTGAGGTTGTGCAGGCGATCTTCATGTCTGGTTTACTTGCTGGTTCATTCATCTTTGGACCAACAGCTGAATCGTGAGTTACTTGAAAAAGGTATATTAGAAATGTTCAAAATGTATGAAAGCCTAAACCTTCAAACCACTGACTAAACTTTAGGTACGGCCGCAGGAGAACCACCCAGCTACCAGTCGTGCTCTTGCAAATATTCGTCATAGTTGCTGGTGTGTCTCCAAATGTCTACGTCTACATAGTGGCGCAGTTCATAGTTGGAGCTGCCCTCGGGGGATATAGAATGAACTCCACCGTATTAGGTATGACTTGTTTTTAACCAACCAACATTTGATTAATGGTCAAAATCACAACAAGGGAATTTTATGGTTCCTTTTCATTCCTAGATCTGCAGTGATGTTGGTGTTTAAATTGTGTTTGTAGCTACAGAGTGGATTGGGGTCACCAAAAGGTCCTTTGCTTCCTGTATGAGCCAGTTGTTTGCAGCTTTTGGACAGTGTGTCGTGGCTGGTCTCGTCTATGGCATCCGTGACTGGAGAAAAGCACAGTACGTCATAGGAGGAGGGCAGGCCTTTGTAACGTTGTATATATGGTATGTGTTACACTTTGTTATTTAAATGTTTTGCTCATTGCTGTATGTAGACAATTAAGAGAAGTTTGGAGGTTTGGAATTGTGTTTGTATGAGATAATTATCAATAGTCAGTGGGTAGCACTTGGCACACCCTCTTTTCCGAGAAGTTATATTATATTAAGTGTATGCCATATCGAGAATATTTTAAGCTTTAGCTTTGCCATGTCGTGAGACCAAAGGGCTTTTATCTATATTTAGTATTCACTTTGTCTTCAAAGCTACCAGACTCCATTTAAAAAATAGCGGCTAACTCGCAGAACACAAGCATTTGTTTTTTTGTGTCACAAATAAAATTACAGTTTTTTCCAAAGAGTCTGGTGGATTCAACAAAAGCATAGATAATGGCTTTAGTTCACTGTCAGAGACATTGTATAGTTGTTTGATGCTAAATTTAAAACATTATATATTCATGGGCCTTTATTTAAGGTACTAAATTAGGTGTTGCTGCTGACCCCCAAGCACAGCACTACATTGCTAATCCCTTGTGCTTCAAATCCTGTCTGCTTCACCAAAATGGCGGTGTGCCCACCGCCATCTATAGTTATGACACTGAGTAGATATGTAGTAGGCTACTAAAGTCCTTTTAACCCACTTTCTGTTCAAACCTACCAAATAAACCGTGTGTATTGCAAAACCAGTGTGTTCAAGAAGACTGTGTAATCCACTTTGTTGGTAGATCACATTTTGATTTTTTTCCGTAAAATTAATAACCGTTTGTGAGTGAATTCAACGTTTGGATTGTGGTTAATCTTTTCAGGTGGATTCCTGAATCTGCAAGGTGGTTGCTGGAACACGGAAGAACTGAAGAAGCTAATCAATTGATACGTAGAGTCGCAGCAATCAACAAAAGGAAAATCCCAGATAACCTGCTGGACGAGGTTTATGAGATACAATTTGATTGGATTTTGTGAATATATACTTCATAAGCAGTGCTAGCATGGCAGCCGATTTAACAGTCTACAGCCAAGCACTGCTGTGGGGCTTTACTAGGAACAGTGGTGCTTTAAAATTAAGGCTAACAGCAGCAAGCTCTCATGTTGACGATGATAATTATAATCCATTGATTTTGAAGTCGTTATATTTTCTAAATTCCACCATTTTAGTTTAGCATCTTAGCTTGCTAACAACCTCTAAACACAAAGTAAAGCTGAGGCTAATGAGGGTGTTATAAGTTTCCAAGGTACTTGGTCATCAAACTAATTATTGGACAAAGCTAAAACATTTGACCTGTGGCAAATTCCTTTTTATGTACATTCCCGCTATTCATTTTTTTAATGAATAAAAAAAGAAACGTTTAATCCCAATTGCTTTTCAGATACTCAAATTATTATTTTTAAATGTGACCTTTATATATTTAATGTTCAATGAAATCTAGTTCAAAGTCAATTCAAATGTACACATTACCCATATAATTCAAATATGATTGTAAACAAAGGGGTGTAACAGGGCAAAGAGATATTGCCTATTGAAGGGATCAACCCTTTATCAGAATGAATGTAATTGCTGCCTAATTCATAGAATCACTGCTCAAAGTTTTGTCTTCACTATATTAATCCTTCTGCCCTTCAGGTCACCAGGGGACGGGAAGTGAAAAGTGGGGGAATAAAAGCAATTTTTACCTCAGCAGTCCTGGTTAAATATTTGTTAATTGTATCTTTCGCCTGGTAAGTTAAGCACAATTTGAAATGTATTTTATGAAATAATTGCTTAAAGGTTTGTAACATGTTTGTGTTCATGTGATTTGAAGGTTTTCGTTAAACCTTGGCTACTTCTGCGTAATTTTTAATGTGGGTAAGTTTGGTCTGAACATCTTCCTGGTTCAGTTCCTGTTTGGGATCACTGAGATGCCCGCACATCTCCTCTGTATCTGGTTTTTGGAGTTAATTGGGAGAAAAAAATCCTTAATATCAACCCTCCTGACAGGAGGGGTGTTTTGCCTCTTAACCTTGGCTTTCCCTCGAGGTGAATCCCTTGTCCTTTAAGTTCACTACATGATGAGAAATACATCTGACCATCTGTGGGGTTTAACCCTTTTTTTTTTTTTCAGACTGCTCTATTGTTATCACAGCCCTTGTTACCGCCGGGAAGTTCTTTTTGAACTGGGCAGGTTCAGTATGTTTGGTCTACATTCAGGAGTTGTTTCCCACTTCTGTCAGGTACGCAAATAAAATATATACAGAATATGTTATTATATAAATTATACATTTTAAAGTTAACTGAACTTTTTCAGGCAAACTGCCGTTGGCTTTGGCTCTATTGCCTATAGAGGAGCAGGCTTGATGTCCCCCTTGCTCAACATGTTGGCCATCTACCACTGGGCCATACCCATCTTAGTCTTCAGCAGCCTTGCAGTGACCAGTGGAGCTCTTGTCTTCCTGCTCCCTGAGACCCGGAGAACAGAGCTGCCTGACTCAGCTAATGAGACCGAGGGCAACAGGTAAGATGGTTGCATGATTTACAGAGTTCATGTGGCAATATTGTCTTTTATTGGGAGTCAGTTCAAGGCCAACCAGTGGCTTCCATCCACACTAGAACTTCATTTGACAAGAACGCACTCCCCATCTTGTTTTTCTTTATCCGTAAAAACACGACAATGTAATAGAAAATTACAATGTCCTCCTAATATATCTTACAGTTGAATTGAAACAAGACATATATCAAGCTTTGATGTCTTAATGGTGTCTTCCTTTACTTTCTAGGAATATGAGCACAAAGAAAATGGGCAGTGACTCCAACGTGGTCGAACAAAACGGCAGAAATTCCACCAAACTCTAGCCGATATGGTTAATCTTTTTTAAAGATGTTTTTGTCGTGTGAGATATACATTGCTGAATACAATATTTCTTGTGGATGCTCTTTGGCCTTCAATGTTGCTGAGTCACATTGTGTGTTTGCTAATGTCTCAAGTGTAGGTATTTACGGCTGTCATTTCTGTAAGATGCTGAAAATCAGTCGGTGAATTAAAGGAACATAAGCTTAACTCTGTTTTTCTGGGAATTCATTTTCATTAAAAAAAAATTGTTATTAATATGTCTTGACCTTTCTTTCAAAGGTCTAAGGCTAAGACATGGAACGTTCGTAATCTAAAAATAATTGATAACATCTATTCATCCAAAAAATATATATACAAAATGCCTCTCATTTTGTGTAACATATTCAATTTAATATGAAGGAAACTACATTTCAGTTAGAGTGGAATTAAAAAAGTCCTTAATCGAACTTGCCTTGAACCCTGGAAACCCTGATTTAGGATTGCATATCCTTATCTGTAAATGTAAATACAGCTGGGGGGTGGTCCACAACAGGACATTTTACATCAAAACAACTGTTTTTGACAAGCTTGCACATAGCCACTGTGCAAAAACAGCTAATAAGTTGTGACCTGCTGCTGTCTTATCAGTCTTTAAACATGAGGGTATTGCTTCATGACTCACACAATTCACATGAGAGCTAACAACATGCAGTGGAGATGCAAATTCAGCAAACATCTACCTAGAATAGAATATAATCGTTTAATGTCATTATACATGTACAATGAGATAATAAATGCTTCTCCCTTTCAAGGGTGCCATCAAAACAAAAAAAACATCACAACACAAGACAACAAATACACGCAGCATACATACTTAGGAATAAGGAATAAAGGATTAAAGTGCAGTAATTGTTTCCAGGAGTATACAAATAAATCTGTAATGTAATAAATAATAATAATAATAGTATGTATTTATAATAATAATAGTAATGATATATATGTATATATGTACAGAGTCACATTTATGATGATTAAGAGGTATGATTTCAGGTGTTAAGAGCAATGATGGCTCTTGGGAAAAAACTGTCTTTGAGTCTGTTTGTTTTGGATTGTATACACCTGTAGCGCCTGCCGGAGGGCAACAGGTTGAACAGGTGAAAGCCGGGGTGTGAACTGTCCTTGATAATGTTTTTGGCTCTACTGAGGCAGCGGGAGGTGTAAATGTCCATCAGGGAGGGGAGAGGGCAGCCGATGATCCTCTGTGCTGCTTTTACGACTCTCTGGAGCCTCATCCTGTCGGCCTCAGTACAGCTGGCGTACCACACTGTGATGCAGTATGTCAATAGATGGTAGAGCGGTAGAAGGTCACCAGCAGCTTAGTGGCCAAGTTGTTCTTCCTGAGCACCCTCAGGAAGTGCAGACGCTGCTGGGCCTTCTTGATGACAGCTGTGGTGTTGTACCTGATTTTACAAGAAACAAAACAAACCCTTGTTACATTATAGGATTTTTGTTTTTTCTACATGTGACTTGTCAATCCTTTGGTGAGCCGTTTGCTATACAGTTTCATCTAAATATTTTAAAAGGCCTTGGCGTAACTATCATATTTCAACAACAAAGATAAGAGACAAATCCAAATAAACAGAACTTTGTGTGGCTCAAGTCTTTTCTTTTCAATTGAGCTGTGACAGAAGCAGCATTACCATAACAATACAATACTTCCGCTTTGAGCTTTAAGGACTAGTTCAGATGTGTTGAAGTAGGTTTGTATGAGTTACTTATCCATACTCATTGTATATAAATGACAGATAATCAGCTACAGTATCAGCATGGAAGCAAAGTTGTGCTGTAGACAGGGGCATCAGAACAAATTATTTCTGCCATATTAAAGAAATAACTATACCTAAACAAGTGTAAATGTATGCTGTATTTAGAATACTTTCAACACTTTACTTTGCTGTCCATTAGGGGTGGGCGATACCACAAAATCTGGATTCGATCCGATACCAAGTATTTCAGGGCCAGTATCGCCGATACCGATATCGATACCGATACTTTTTTTTAATGAAAAGCGTCTTATGTACTTTCATATAGGGGAGAGCTGCATGACATGATTTTTGAGCTGAAATCATCATAAATAGACTAAATCTGAATTCATTTTCATGAATAAAGACAGGACAGTTTTTATAGACAAATACACGTTTTACTTTTGCAAATTTAAAGTGCAAACATGAAAAATAACAATACAAAGTGGCCAAAGTAGCGAACTGTCTTCTTGCACACATCACAGTTCGCTAAGTTTTAATGGCCAGTTGTGAAATTGCTCCACACAACGCTGCTCTTTCTCTCAGCCATCATGCGCGTGTGTGTGTTGCACTCGCGAGTCGCTGGCTGCTGCTGTCCTGCCCTGCTGGCTGCTGTCAGTCAGCTTGATAATCGGCGTTCAGACAGGGAGCCTCGAGGAGAAGAGGACAGCAGTGGAGAGAGAAGAAAAGAGCATATACTTGTGTTCGTCCGCACATAGTTTTTTGAAGAAATTGACGAGTAGAGGAGACGAGAAAAAAAGTATAACAGTATCGATCCTATTGGCTCTAGTATCGATATTTTGAAACGTAACGTAATATCGGAAGTATCGATATTTTGGGATCGATCCGCCCACCCCTACTGTCCATGGCCCTTTCCATCGGGGAACTGAAGCTGTTTTTATCCTCTCTCCGAAGTCACCAGAATCCATTGATAAACAAACCGGTGAAATATTACTCGCTATTTCTTGGAGCTCCTCAGAGAAGTGATTCCTGTCACATTCTCACTTGTGTGGCATGTCAAAGGAAACAATTCTGAAGAGGTTACAACCAAAGAAAGCAAAACATATTTTAGAAAAGCATTACAACTATTATAAGTCTCCTTTAAGTCTTCTTCAGACTAAAGTGTAACCAGTCTTTTGTTAATATCCTTTACAGCATTACATAATACTAATTTTGAAACCGTCTCACCAAAGATGACACCATATTATGTAACAGTTTCACCCTTCATATATCAGCATATTGTGAACTTTGGTAAATGTTTAACAACACTTTCTGTAAGAGATAAGAAATGTTTGCGAGTAACACACTGCAACCGCAATGTGCTTTTATTAGACGCTGTGCTGGAAATAGCAGATTATACGTAAAGACATATTTGGTTAAACAGTCACAGGACCATCTCTTTCTACAAAATGAAATATCCATCAATGTGCTGTATCATCCTTCCTGAAATGTACTTTACGGGGTTTGAACATTAATGGGCATTGTTCAAAGGTCATCCTGCAGCAACATTTGTGCAAAAAGGGCAAAACATCTCCCTGAACATGGCGGACTTTGGAGAGATTCTCCGCACCATTGGAGAGTTTGGATTATTTCAGAAGATCACTCTTTTTGCTCTTTGCTTCCCAAATCTTATCCTGCCTTTTCACTTTGCCAGTGTATTTTTTATGGAGTCAGATCCAGATAGACACTGTAACACAGACTGGATCCTTCGGGCAGACTCTAACCTGACCACAGATGAGCAGCTGAACCTGACTCTGCCCCGAGAGGATGACGGGACCTTCAGCAAGTGTCAGATGTTTGTCCCTGTGAACTGGTCTGTTGGTTCCATCAGGGAGTACGGACTCAATGAGACCAGAGGGTGCCAGAATGGATGGGTGTACTCCAACATGCTGTACGAAGCCACCATAGTCACTGATGTTAGTCATTGGTCTGGTTCATAGTCATTCATAATAAAATAATCTTAATAAAACTGTCCTTTCTTAACTATTGTTTTATTTTTCCACAGTTTAATCTAGTTTGTGACCAGAGTCCTTTGTTGGAATTAGCTCAAGCAGGGTTGATGGCTGGCATTCTTTTTGGTTGTCTCTTATTTGGACCTTTTGCTGAATCGTAAGTGTACTTGAAATTGCACAGAATACGTCTTCTTAACGCTGTACTGTACGGTCTTTTTTGATGAACCCTATCATATAAAGAATGACATGGTTATATGACATATGCTGACCAGAGAAGTATCTCTTCCAGGTTTGGTCGTAAACGAGCCGCTCAGATCCCAGTCGTTGTGATGCTCATATTTACTGTCACGACTGGATTATGTCCAAACCTCTTTTTGTATATGGCATCCCAGTTCATTTTGGGACTTGGCTATGGCGGTTATCGACTGAATGGCGTCATATTGGGTAAAGTATACCACATCATATTACATTTTAAAAGATTATTCTTTTGGGTTATCTACTCATTCCCTCATTTCCAAGTAGGGAATGAGTCCTTACCCCAAGTGAAGGAGTTTAAGTATCTCGGGGTCTTGTTCTCGAGTGAGGGAACAATGGAGCGTGAGATGGGCCGGAGAATCGGAGCAGCGGGAGCGGTACTGCAGTCGCTTTACCGCACCGTTGTGACGAAAAGGGAGCTGAGCCAGAAGGCAAAGCTCTCTGTCTACCGGGCCATTTTCGTTCCTACCCTCACCTATGGTCATGGAGGATTTACATTACATTACATTGCATTTAGCTGACGCTTTTGTCCAAAGCGACTTACAATAAGTACATTCGACCAGGAAGACACAACCTTGAAGAAAACAGAATCATATAAGTATATCAGGTTTCATAGAGCCAAACATTTCAAGTGCTACTCAACTGGCTTTAGGTAATCCAGTCCTTTATTGGTATAAAAGTGCTTCGTTAATCGTTCTAACGCTCGAAGTGGAGTCGAAAGAGATGAGTTTTCAGTTTGCGCCGGAAGATGTGCAAGCTATCTGCCGTCCTGATGTCAATGGGGAGCTCATTCCACCATCTTGGAGCCAGGACAGCAAACCCACGTGTTTTCGCCGATGGGAACTTGGGTCCCCCTCGCAGCGAGGGCGCAACGAGTCGTTTGGCTGATGCAGAGCGTAGTGCACGCGCTGGGGTGTACGGTTTAACCATGTCCTGGATGTAGGAAGGGCCAGATCCATTCGCAGCACGGTAAGCAAGTACCAGTGTCTTGAAGTGGATTCTAGCAGTTACCGGAAGCCAGTGAAGGGAGCGGAGGAGCGGAGTGGTGTGGGAGAATTTAGGAAGGTTGAAAACCAGACGAGCCGCTGCATTCTGGATGAGCTGCAGAGGTCGGATGGCACATGCAGGTAGACCAGCCAGGAGGGAGTTGCAGTAGTCTAGGCGTGAGATGACGAGAGCCTGGACCAGAACCTGAGTCGCTTTCTGAGTCAGCTGGGGACGTATCTTCCTGATGTTGTAAAGCGTGTATCTGCAGCAGCGGGTTGTAGCAGCGATGTTTGCAGTGAAGGACAGGTTGTTATCTAGGGTCACACCCAGATTCCTTGCAGTCTGAGTCGGGGAAACAACTGAGGTGCCGATGTTGATTGTCAGGTCAAGAGTTGGACAATCTTTTCCCGGGAGGAAGAGCAGCTCAGTCTTGTCAAGGTTGAGCTTGAGGTGGTGAGCAGACATCCACTGAGAGATGTCAGCTAGACAAGCAGAGATGCGTGCGACGACCTGGGTCTCTGAGCGGGGAAAGGACAGAATTAATTGGGTGTCGTCAGCGTAGCAGTGGTAAGAAAAACCATGCGGGCTAATGACTGATCCGAGCGAGTTTGTGTACAAGGAGAAGAGGAGGGGACCAAGAACAGAGCCCTGAGGGACCCCCGTAGTTAATTGACAAGGGTCGGACTCAGACCCTCTCCAAGTCACCCTGTAGGTACGGTCTTTCAGGTATGAGGTGAGGAGGGAAAGTGCAGAGCCTGAAACTCCAAGTTTTTGGAGAGTGCGATGGGTCATGGATGGGTCATGACCGAAAGAACGAGATCGCGGATACAAGCGTCCGAGATGGGTTTTCTCCGCAGGGTGGCTGGTGTCTCCCTTAGGGATAAGGTGAGAAGTTCGGTCATCAGGGAGGGACTCGGAGTTGAGCCGCTCCTCCTTCGCGTCGAAAGGAGCCAGTTGAGGTAGTTCAGGCACCTAGTTAGGATGCCACCTGGGCGCCTCCCTAGGGAGGTGTTCCAGGCACGTCCAGCTGGGAAGAGACCAAGGGGTAGACCTAGGACCAGGTGGAGGGATTATATCGCTTCGCTGGCCTGGGAGCGCCTTGGGATCTCCCAGTCAGAGCTGGTTGATGTCGCCAGGGAAAAGAAAGTGTGGGGCTCTCTGCTGGAACTGCTACCCCCGTGACCCGACCACGGATAAGCGGGAGAAGATGGATGGATGGATGGATGGATGGATGGATGGATGGATGGATGGATGGATGGATGGATGGATGGATGGATATCTTTGTCAAGCCATGTAACCACCACTGTTTTTTTTTGTGACCAACTTTGTATTGTTTTCTACCCTCACAGAGGGACATATATACAGATACAAATTATGTAAACAATAATACAAAAGGAAAGAGAAAGAAAACCAAAAAAAGGGATAGGGAGTCCCTTACCCACGCCAACCACAAGCTGTTGCTTTCATCCCATTGGCTACAGTAAAATATATATATTTTTTTTTAACTCTTCAATTTTCCCTTTAATTTCTCGGCACACATTCATTTATTTATCTTTTTCCAAATAGCCATTTATTTTCCTGAACATAGTGGGAGATGTCTGGCTAGCTAGCTAAACTGAAAACACTCGTAGCCAAACACACTGGACAAAAGCTAATGTTCATCATAAAATCACAACAGTCTGTACAGTTCATGTTAATCATATAATGTACTACATACTGCTGTAGAATCTCTGTGTAAACACTTGTAACAGTAGCTAAAACATTTAGGTAACAAACTAGCTGATGCTAACAGTTAACTAGCTACACACAAAGACCTTTCTCTTCATAAAATTATTTTTGAGTTACTGTTGTGCCTGGGTGTGTGTGTGTGTGTGTGTGTGTGTGTGTGTGTGTGTGTGTGTGTGTGTGTGTGTGTGTGTGTGTGTGTGTGTGTGTGTGTGTGTGTGTTAAAAACAGTTTAGCCTTCCAGCAAAAGCCAACATTCGTTCCTACTTATATCCGTAGCGCTAATTGGCTCCTACATATATACATTGAGGCTTGATGTATTAGCTTTTATTAGCTTTATTAGCTATTACCTCAATTTAATTAAATCTTTTTCACGTTTAGATGAGTTCTTCACATATATAATATTGCCATTCCTGGGCTATTTTATTCACGTGTTCACTATCAAACCTGTCTTTGAACTTTTCTGTATATTTTGTCCTTTTAAGGTCTCCATTGTTCTTGGCACATACGTATATGGATGTTGGCGTAATAAATTCAAGGTTTACTCTAATGTATTTCCCGTTTCTAGCCACTGAGTGGATCGGGGTGTCCAAAAGATCCTGGGGAGCATGTATTACTCAGCTATTTGGAGCAGTTGGACAGTGCCTCCTGGCTGGTATGATCTACTTCATCAGAGACTGGAGACTGGCTCAGCTAGTCACAGCAGCTCCACTGGCAGTTGTTGCTATTTACATATGGTGTGTATTGACTCTTTTTATATTAAAATCAGATGTTTCCCTGAAATTACAGATTATTAAAGAATGCCTATTTCCTTGTTTCTGACAGGTTTATACCAGAGTCAGCCAGGTGGTTGTTGGACAGAGGCAGGACAGAGGAGGCTAAACAGCTGATTACCAAAGTGGCAGCCATTAACAAACGTACTGTTCCAGAGTCTCTTCTGGAAAAGGTCCCTTAATAAGAAAAAAAAGTTGTTATTTTTTTACCATTGTATCAAGACTTAACGTAAATGCAATATTACCGTCATACTGGTAATACAAATAACGAATGGTGTTTATTTATTAAGTAATTACTATAACAGAAAGACATTTCTACAATGTCTGATCTCCGTCAAAGACATCTAAATGTAACTCTATTAACTCCTAACTTTTGCCAATCTAACTCTTATGATCTGCTAACCTAAGCAAATGTTAGCATGATATTGTTTCCATCCCCTGTGCATTACAGATTGTTGAGAAAAAAACTGTGAGAAAGGGAGGCATAATTATTCTCATGCAATCATCTGTGCTTAGGAAGTATTTCTTAACCATAATATTGGCATGGTAAGTTTAATTTTACAATACACATAACAACTCTTTTAAATGCAAAAGAGACTGATAAAAAACACATTTGAGATTTTTACTTTAGGTTATAATGAATTTAACAACTTATTTTTCAACATGCTAAATACTTATTTTTTGTAATCATCAGGTTCTCCTTGAATGTTACTTACTACTCCCTTTCATTCAATGTTGGAAATCTTGGCTTGGACATCTTCCTGACGCAGCTTATATTTGGTCTGACTGAATTCCCAGCTCATATCCTTTGCATATGGCTGTTAGAAGCACTGGGGAGAAAAGTGTCACTGATGTCAACTCTTCTGATCGGGGGATTCTTGTGCTTCTTAATCCTAGCTGTTCCTCAAGGTAAAGCACTTTGGGTGTTGTCTCTATGATGTTTAGTTTAACTAGCGGCCTGTAGCAAAGGATAGCAATGGTGGTTAGTTAGTGACTGCACCATAACATTACCTCAAAATGGTTTCTGTATCCTTTTAGGATACAGTCATTTGAAAGGCTGTGACCAAATTGAGGTTGTAACAGTGTCAGTACAGTGTAATATGGTTGTAATATTGGTGTAATAACAGTGTTACATGGGTGTAACATGGGTATAATATAGGTTTAATACAGGTGTATTAAGAGTGTTTTAATCTATAATATTGGTGGAATAACCATGTAATATTTGTGTTACATTGGTGTAATACCGGTGTAATTATGCTGTGATATTGCTGTAACATGGATATAATAACAATATGTGTGTAATATTAATGTCACATGGGTTAAATACGGGTCTGATAGGTGTGACATGGGTGTAATAATGGTGTAACAGCGGTGTAATAGGGTTGTTCTAATGTGTAATATGGGTGCAAAAAGTGTTATATGGGTGTAATGTGAAAATTGCATTCATATTTCCCAACATATTTATGTGTGAATGCTCATTTAAGGGTTACGTTCAGATATTCATGGTTCCCAGATGGTGTATTTAAGGGATGTTAGTGTTACCATCACTTTTTCCAGATTTCTCGATAACATTGGAAGCCTCATTCTAAAATCAAACACCCATCTCATAACATTGTTGTTGTTTAATTATCTGACACTGTGTTTTTCTCTTCAAAGATAATGCTGTTGCTATGACCACGTTAGCAACTTCAGGACGTTTTTTCATTAACTGGGCAGGATCCATATGCAATGTGTATGTTCAGGAGCTGTTCCCAACATCTTTTCGGTAAGCCTCCCATCTCACTGTAGTAATTGGTATATTCACCAGTGTGTTCACAAGAATAACACCAAAGACGGTTTAGCAAACGGAGTACATTTTCTTATGGGTTTCGCCCCTGCCTAGCGTCTTTAAGAGAACAGTAGGTCTGAGTTCATTGACTCCAATGGGAGAAGGGAACATGAGGCAAACAATGAACAAATATTTTTGCCCTGTTGTGACAAAAGTAAATATTCAAACAATTCCGAACATTTAACACAAAAATTGCATTTTTAGACACATCTTTAGAAAACCTGTGTTCTAGACCATTTTGTCAACTCTCTGGCAACTAAGAGCATTACAGTTAGTTCAACGGCTCAAACTGTCTGGAAAAATAGTTCTAAGGCTGTGATCAAATTCTATTAAAACTGTGTTTCAGACAAACAGCCTCTGGTTTGGGCTCCATTGCCAGCAGGGTTGGTGGCCTGCTGGCTCCACTGCTCAACATGTTGGCTGTGTACCACTGGTCCATACCCACCGTAGTCTTCAGCAGCCTGACACTGGTCAGTGGAGCCCTGGGCTTCCTTCTTCCTGAGACCAGGGGGAAAGAGCTTCCTGATTCAATCGATGAGGCTGAGGGCAACACGTAAGCATCCGACAGTGTCTCCTTATTACACCCTGCACAGTTAATACATCTGGCTTTATTTTTGTTCAGAATGAATAACAGCATTTCATTAGCATCTCCAAATGAGATCAGATATTTTTTTTTTATGTTGACCAATATTAGCTATTTTCACGCATCTCCAAAGTACTGCAGGCAATATGAAGACACGAACAACATACCCTCTAATATTTGTAATTAATTCATATTCATAGGATTGTCATACAGGATTTATTTTGTTCCAGAAAAAGGGAACATGTAACTAACACACTTCTGTTTATTCCCTTTTCCCAACAGAAATAAGACCAAGCTGAAGAGCCAAAGTGAAACAAAGAAGTTTGCACAAACCATATCTACCAAACTGTAGACTGAATACTTGTGTTACTCTTGCTCCATGTTACTCTGCTAGCAGCAGAGACAGGTGGTTAAAAGTTTGCTTCGTCATACAACTACTGGTCTCATTAGCCTGAAGTTTGCTTTAGACATTCATGTTTTGTCAGCGCACCTAAACATGTTTTACACAGGGCTCGGCAATATATGAATATTATATCTTTATTGTGATATGAGACCTAAGTTTTGTTAATCGTAATATCCAAATTTAACTTAGTTTTTTTTTTTATGTCTGCATTACATTTAAGTGATACATGTAATTTTTCTACCAGCTGTTCCATTATTTGCCTTTACCAACTTAGTCATTATATCCACATTACTGATGATTATTAATCAGAAACCTCATTGGGAAATGCATCAACAGTAAACCCTATAATGTGTAACCTATATTAAGATATTATTGTCATTTTGCCCTATTTCAGAGCCACCATATCCCCTTGTACACAAGACATTGTAATTGTATTACTTTGATGCTTTCCATTAGACACTCCATTGGTTTTCTTATTCTGCCACCCTCAGGTTAAATGTTGGCACACAATATATTTCAAAGTCTATGAGCTGATATCTCTGGAAGTTAGTGACAGCACATGATCACAGGGTTACAAACCCTTTTAATTGAAATGAAACTATGGCTGAATCTCTTGTGCCTCCCTCAGGACAATCTTTGTATTTCAGTCAGTTTTTCAGTTTTTACCTTGATCTAATACGATGTTCAAATCAAATCAAGTTTTATTTATATAGCACATTTAAAAGCAATTGTTGGTCAAGCCAAAGTGCTGTACATGTAAAAAAAACACATTACTACAATCACAATAAAAGACAATCATTTACAACAGAAATATAAAAAACAAAAACACAGGGAATAGTCAGGTGTCATGCTCCGCTCTGACTAGAAGGCCAGGGAGAAGAAGTGAGTCTTTAGTGAGGATTTAAAAACCCCCAGGGTCTGGGCCGACCTCACATGGAGGGGCAGAGTGTTCCAGAGCCTGGGGCCAGCTGCTGCGAAGGCTCGGTACCCTCTGGTTTTGAGCCTGGTCTTGGGCACTATCAGCAGCAGCTGGTCAGCAGACCTTAAAGCTCTGGCTGGGGTGTAGCGCTGGAGGAGTTCGGCTATATAGGCCGGAGCCAGCACATTTAGGGCTTTGAAAACAAATAAAAGGAGTTTAAAATCAATTCGGAACCGAATTGGAAGCCAGTGCAGTGAGGCCAGAATTGGGGTGATATGGTCACGCTTTTTGTGGCCAGTCAGAAGACGTGCAGCTGCGTTCTGCATAGCTGCAGGCGTTTAATTGAGGCCTGGTCCATACCCACATACATTGCAGTAATCCAGTCTTGAGGTAACAAAGGCATTACTAACCCTTTCTAGGTCTTTAAAAGATAACTACGACTTGGTCTTGGCCAATAGTCTAATTTAAAAAAAGCAGGATTTGACTACGGTGCTGACCTGCTTGTCGAATTTAAAAGTGCTGGTGAAGGTTAGGTCACTCCAAGGTTCATGACAGAGGGGAGGATGTTTTCATTGAGAGAAAACTCAATTGTTACTTAAATTATTTACGGTTTTCTGCGATCTACTTTCTATTTCAACTCTGCACAATGGGGGATCTGGCTTTCTGTGCAGCTGCTCCTCACCTGTGGAATTCCCTCCCAGACCACCTGAGGGCTCCATAGACCACTGACGCCTTCAGGAAAGGCCTGAAAACCTTTCTTTTAAAAAAGCCTTTGATTAAACTTGTGTTTCTTTTGTTTGTTTCTATTATGCCTCCTGGAGCACCTTGGGATTGCTTTTAGCAATGAAAGGTGCTTTACAAATAAAATGTATTATTATTATTATTATTTAAACCTGATTGCCAAACATTTCAATAAAAAACTCTTCACAATGGCGGTCTAAACTGATTTTTCGGAATTGTGGGAAGTTTTGTTATTTTGGGAGACACAAACCAAATACCATTCCCTTCTGTTGGGGTTATGTCTGAAGTGTAGTGGTAATCTGAAACATCTACAAAAAGAAAGGAACTGTATAGGATGAAAGGTAAAATGTGTGTTTTTGTCAAAACAAACAGCTGCTAAGAGTGAAAACAGAAATAATATTATTATAATATAACAGTAATAACAATTTTCTTTGGCGATTTTGTTTTCCATTATTCTTATTTTATTTATTTGTATTGGATGAACTTCATTAGTTTATATTCTCTGGGTTAAAGGGTTAAACCAAGGTTAGGTCCTGAGCATGTTAAAAACAAAGTTTGAATTTAACTACAGTTTATTCAAACAAAACTGTCCTCATTTAAAGTAGAATATGAAGGAAAAAGAGTCCGATTCAGGTATGTTCTGATCTCTGCAGAGGATACAAATACTGTACCGCATAAGGGGTTGTATAATGTTTAGCCCACCCTAAAAACTCACTGTTTATATCCTTTTTCAAATCCTTTCGCTGTCTGCACTTTCATGATCTTAGTGTTTGTGTTTAATGTTTCCTGTTTTATTTTTAAATGTGTTTCTCTTGGTGTTTTTGCCTTTTTGTTTTCCTGCCTGTGTGATTGTATGATGGTTTTCACCTTCTGCCTTTGAGTTAATTCCTGCCTTCTCCAGCTGTGTGTTGTCTTTCTATTTAGTCTGGTGTCTTTATAGTCCTATCTCTCCTTGTGATCTTTGTTGATTTGTCGTCTTTGTCCCTGTCCGGTCTTGATTTGTGGCGTATTTCGTCCCTGCCTGATAGCGTTCCTGGACCAAAACATCGTTTTTATCAGTGTGTTCCTGCTCGTTATCCTTCCCTTGTTCCCTCTAAGGTTTGTACACGTTCAGTTTTTAGTTTTGCCTGGTCCCCATGTTTTATTACAATCAGGAGAGACTTCATTTTGTTTAAAGAACATTTATTGACACATGTCATATGATAAATGTTAAGTCTTTGGGGATTAGACCCCGATCCTGAAATCGTATATCTAAAGGGGGAAATGCAGCCGTGAGCATAGGGAACCCCCCCGGAGTCTAGACACTGGTGATGATGCTGAAGATCTGGATTTGATGAGGAGGAGATGGGATGAAGAGGAGGTGTGATGAGGTCTTTGGGTTAACTCTCCTGGCACTGGATGTGATGAAAGGAGGTGGATGGGGAGGAGGTGGGCGGCAGCACGAAACCTGAAATCACAGCTGACTGCAGGAGAGAGGAGAACCATTTTAAAGTTTGGCTGCAGCACGGTAATTGGCTGCTGGAGAATGAGGTGAATATATAGACAACGCCTGTGATTATATGCAGCTGCGGAGTGAACGTATACCCAGTCTTCCTGAAAGAACTTGCGCTGAGCTTCATTTGCTATAATGCCTGATTTTGTAACTTTTTTGGTTGATGGTGTGCATTGGGATAATCTTAATGTAAAACATTTACCATGGCTCCAAAAAGGTTAAAAAAACAACACTGGGCTATTTAATTGTAAACTATGAGTCAGTCTCTGTCAAATGAATAGCAGTTTGTGAGGGAATCCAACATTTGGATTGTGGTAAATCTTTTGATCCTGAATCTGCAAGGTGGTTGCTGGAACAGGGAAGAACTGAAGAAGCTAATGAATTGATACTAATGATAGCACTCAATAAAAACCTAGATAACCTGCTGGATGAGGTTTATCAGATACCATTGTATTGCATTTGATTAAATTAGACGTTAAACATCCGTCATAAACAACACCTTTCAGTCTGCAGCCGTCACTGCTTTACAGAGGCAAGGTTATCACGATCTGTCTGTGTTTTGTTTTGTCTTGTCTTTTTCTGTCTTTGGTTTCCTGTTTTATTTTGAAAAGTGTTCACCCCCTGTCTTGCCTGTTGCCTTCTCTCTGTGTTCCCTCCTGTCTGATTACCCGATTGTGTTCACCTTGTGCCCCTGGGTTTTCTCCTCCCTCCTCACCTGTCTCTTGTTTCTTTGATTAGTCTTGTGTGTATTTAAGTTCTGGTTTTTCTGTCTGTCTTTGTTAGTTCCTTGTGTGTCTTGACTGTGTTCACGGGGAAGAGTTCTGTTTTGTTTCCATTTTACCTTGGAATAAAGGTGTTTTTCTGTGAAATCTGCGTTTGGGTCCTGCCTGCTTCGCTCAACCCTGACAAAGGTGGTGCTTTAAGCTCAATGCTAAATTGTGTGCTCACAACATAAAAGGTGTTTTGTTTAATACATGAACCATTAGCAAGATAGTACGTTTACCATTTAAGCAAGCTCGTTAACATTGAACTACCACTAAACACAAGTTAAGGTTAATGGGGATGTCATCAGTTTCTAAGTTGTTTGGTCATTAAACAAATGATTGGAATAAAGTTTAAACGTTTGACATGGGGATTACACTAGAATCAATGTCAATGGACACCTTTATGCCGAGGAAAGATCACCCTGTCTGTGTTATTTTTCATTAATGACCGCCTTGCTGCACACTTGGTTAGTTTTGAATGCTGGATGCTGGAGAAGGTCATTTAACTTATCAGTCTGTGAACAGGAGGGTATTGCTTTATGACTGTCGTTCTGTCCGATGCTATTCACTCTCTGAATTACAAATGTACAGGAGCACTAACAACATGTGCCTGATTATACTACAATGCAATGTACGATGTACCCTTGTTACAGAACAGGGTTTTGTCACAGAAGGGTATATGTTTGTGAGCAGTTCCCTAGACAAGATTAGAGATCGGTCCCAAAAAATAAGCAGAACTTCGTGTGGCTAAATTATGTTTATTCTTTCCAGTAACCAATTGAGCTTTGACACAAACTGGACAATGATAATACTGTATAATACTGCACCTGCAAGGGATTAAAGGGGTCGTTTAGATTGTTCCAAGGGTATACAAGGTACTATCCATACTTTGTGTATAACCTACTTGCTCACCCCCATAGAAACAGATAGAGTACTAGCATGGAAACAAAGTTCTGCTGTATACAGGGGCATCAGAAAAATGTATAGTCTGCCACATGATTTTGGTAAACGCCTGATAAAAGGTCTTTGGTTACTACAA